TTTCACCCCCCACGAGGGTTTAAGTGAATTGAAGGTGTTGACCCCCGCGAGGGTTTAAGTGAATTGAAGGTGTTGACCCCCGCGAGGGTTTAAGTGAATTGAAGGTGTTGACCCCCGCGAGGGTTTAAGTGAATTGAAGGTGTTGACCCCCGCGAGGGTTTAAGTGAATTGAAGGTGTTGACCCCCGCGAGGGTTTAAGTGAATTGAAGGTGTTGACCCCCGCGAGGGTTTAAGTGATTGATTGACCCCCGCGAGGGTTTAAGTGAATTGAAGGGGTTGACCCCCGCGAGGGTTTAAGTGAATTGAAGGTGTTGACCCCCGCGAGGGTTTAAGTGAATTGAAGGTGTTGACCCCCGCGAGGGTTTAAGTGAATTGAAGGTGTTGACCCCCGCGAGGGTTTAAGTGAATTGAAGGTGTTGACCCCCGCGAGGGTTTAAGTGAATTGAAGGTGTTGACCCCCGCGAGGGTTTAAGTGAATTGAAGGTGTTGACCCCCGCGAGGGTTTAAGTGAATTGAAGGTGTTGACCCCCGCGAGGGTTTAAGTGAATTGAAGGTGTTGACCCCCGCGAGGGTTTAAGTGAATTGAAGGTGTTGACCCCCGCGAGGGTTTAAGTGAATTGAAGGTGTTGACCCCCGCGAGGGTTTAAGTGAATTGAAGGTGTTGACCCCCGCGAGGGTTTAAGTGAATTGAAGGTGTTGACCCCCGCGAGGGTTTAAGTGAATTGAAGGTGTTGACCCCCGCGAGGGTTTAAGTGAATTGAAGGTGTTGACCCCCGCGAGGGTTTAAGTGAATTGAAGGTGTTGACCCCTAAACCGTGGCTGGGGGGGGGGGCGAACCGCGAACCCTTTTGAACTCCCAGGCCTGGAAAAGGCGCTCCCGAGGCGACAACGTTTGAGTGTTTAAAGCTCAGGGCGCGTTTTAGTGTGGTATTAAAGGCTGGAAGTTGGTGCTGCGAAGGGTCGCGTAAAATTTGAGCTTTAGGTTTCAGGATGCAGGTTTTCTTAGTATTGAGGGTTCTTGGGTTGGTATATTTGTAGGATCGAAACACTCAACGATCCGGAGCCGCTGAACCTTAAACCGTAAACCCTGAGTTCGGCGTCTGCGCCTGGCTGTGCTCCGGAGCGTTGTAGCCGCTACCTAAACCCAAATAAACCCTCTCTAGCCTTTGTACACGTAATCCCTGACAGCCCTGCTCCCCTGAAAAAGCGATAAAGAAAAGAACGGATACCCCAAACAACGCTGACTTTAAACCGCCCTATCGCAAACCCCCTATGCCCGAGAAACGCCCCAAAACCCTCTTAAACCGGAGTGAAATGCCCTGAAGCCTGAACCATCCCGGAACCGTTCAATTTACTTAAACCCCGCTTGGGACTATGCATGTCAATTTGCTTAAACCCCCTGCGGGGGTGGTTGCTTCAATTTACTTAGACCGCGCTTGGGGCTATGCATGTCAATTTGCTGAAACCCCTGCGGGGGTGGTTACTTCAATTTACTTAAACCCCGCTTGGGGCCTCCCACCTCGATAGCGGAGGCCTCGCCCGACGCGAGCCCCAAACACGAAATCGGACCTAGAATCCGTCCGCGGCCAGGTATGTCAGGGATGAGGGTTAAGTTCGTACTGAGCTGCATCCAAAAGCAGCTGCAGCCTCGAAGACTGGGATGGTTTGAGGGACTTCTTGATTCTTGATCCACAAGCTCATGGAGTGACGACCTCACCTGTGCACCGTGAACATACCCAAAGAAGCTATCTTCGCATCCATGGAGGCAGCTCTAAGAGCTTCAAGTGATGTAGGTCTTTTCAGTACAGGCCCTGTTGCGCAGCCGCCTCTGGAGTTGTGAGAATAAACGAATAAACGCTTCAGCATACCAAAGACTCGTGCACAGGTTCGGCTTCAGCAATAAGTCAATAAGTGTGGGCACAGGCAGGCTCACAAGGCTGATGGGAACCATGAGTCCAGGAAGCCAGCAGAAGATGTTGGCCAGAGCTTTGGCTGATTCAGGGTCTGAAGCTATTTCCGAAGCCCAAGCTTGATATGCCTCGTCAAGTAAAGACGATGAAAGCCACATTTGTTCTGAAAGTGCCTGTTGTGAGCCGGAGCTTCAGGGTGCATGTGTTTATATTTATTGCTATCTCTCCGCACTTCTTTGCCTCGCTCCGTCCCCACCTCTGAGCTCCTCCCCATGTGGCTAAGTTTGAAGCCAGAGCGGTCATAACGGCGATTGGGGCCTGCTTTTGGTTTGAGTTGGCAACATGAGGGTGTTTTCATAATTCGGGGTCCTCCCTGGGGTCCCTACGTTCCGGATCCTACCATGCAAGGTCCAAAAGCTGAATTGGAGTCCTTCTTTTCTGAACCTCCCAGAAAGCAAACAGGTTTGCAAGACTAAGTGCAGTCCAAAGACAAGTCATCGCAAACGTGGCTACTGGATGCCTATCTGAATCCACTGTCCTTGCATCGCACCTCCATTGATGCCAGTCGACTAGACAAGGTTCAGGCCCAAATCCTTCAGCTGCCTGTTGTTCGGTCTAATCGTCCGGATTGAGATAGCAGGGTTCATGCCGGATGGAACATGAACACCTAACCGCTCGTCAAGCCCGAGGGCAGCATGCATTCCTGCAGCCAGGTTGTGGCTGATCCTGCTTGTGTGTGGGCAGCCAGAGACAAACCCTAAACCCAAACCCCTTCAATTTACTGAAACCCCCTCCGCTTGGGGCTAACCCCTTCAATTTATTTAAACCCCCCGCTGCGCGGCTCCAAGGAGCCGGCAGCGCAGGCCCCGCGCGGCAGAAGGAGCCGAGCCCTGCCACTGCCATGTTCCCTCAGCAAACCGCTTCTGACTATCCACAGATTTTCAGTTCTTCAGAATGTTTTTGCTCTGGAATGGTATTCCTATGTTCCTTGCCACCGTTCCTCTTGTTGCTTTTGCAAACTCGTCTCACCGTCGCATGGCTAATCGACCATGTCCGGCCATCTTTCAACAGACGAGGTGAAACCATGAAGCGAGAAAGATGTAAGCTTCAAGAACGATAAGGTAATGAACATTTCAGATCCTGCCGGGGGGTGGCAAGCACCTTTAACTTGAAAGGGGATACTTGTTGCGGGATCCTAGAATGTGATCTAATTCGTGTTTTCTGCGATCCAGCTCATGCAGGCCAAAATCTGAGCCGCACCGCTGCCTAATCTGCTTCTGTGATCTTTAGGGTTTAGGGTATAGGGGTCGTCTCGCGCTAACTTCGGGTTTTCCCTCCTACCTAGCAAAGACGGAGTCTGCATTGAGGGAGTCTTGACTTCGGGCTTAGGGGGTCAGTGCTATGGGCTCCTCCTTTAACTCGGGAATGCCATCCGCGAAATGGGTTGCTGAGAAGGCCGAGGACCCGCTTCCCATCGCGGCCCAAGGGGTCGCAAGTGGCCGTCGGCACACTTGAACCGCTTTATGAAGCGAGCCAGCGATGCGAAATCAGCTCAATCATAAGTGCCGTACTATACAGGCCGCAATAGTTAGAAGAGGGTTTTGAAACACATTAAACTATAAGCCATAAGCATCATGCAGAACCTGAATATGGTATTCTTTACACATCACAAATGTGTCTGCCGCAAGGGGCCGACCGGCTCTAAGAAACTCGAAGACCAGAAAGTAACTAAGGATAAAGGTGAAGGACATAGTCAACATACGAATAACAAAAGCAGCAATATCACGAATAGTGCAACGATATAACACAAATATATGAGTCATAACAAGAAAAACAAGAACGGTAATAACATAATAATGGTCTGACTAAAATTATCGAGAACTCACGGGAATATATTCAAGATATATAGCAAGCCAGAGACAAGTTTAAGAAAAAAATGATGCGTTCGACATCGCCGAATAATGATATATACTTAAGACCGGAAGGGCCACTAACATGCTTGACCTTGATTTTGACACGCTCTCGGACCAGATTCAATGAAGTCCTCTGCTAAACGACGGCTCTACAGCCTGTCACACACAACATCATCCCTCTCCCCATCATGTATGGGATATTTCTGAGCTCTTGTGGCTCTGTGCTGAGCACTCAGCCTGTTTAGAATGCTGTGAATACGCAACCAGCCTTGAAAAGCTGGTCAAAAGTCGAATCTTGCTTGTCTTGACGATCTCGGAACCCAGGTCTTCTCAGCTGCTGGCATGCTAGGCCGATAGCTCAACGGCGTATGCATGCGGAAACGGTGGCTTCAGCGTAGTCCTGAGAAACAGCCACCTGGGTGCGACGCGTCGCAAGAACAGCAGATATTCAACGAGGTCTTACTTCGGCTGCAAAGACACATGCGCCACGGCACCAAGACAAGTTCTTGGAGCCGACTGGTTCTCACAAAGCACTTTCTAGCATTTTTGAATTGGCGAACTGCCTTCGGCTGCCTTGTTCTGGGTTTCTCGTTTCAGTCATGACTTTATCCGTTTGTCTGGCCTACGTCCGCGATAATATGCCACGCTGGCTTGAGAAGTTCTAGCTGCCCATGTCCTACGGCTGTTCGTGTGGTTGGCGTGCACCGTCCACCACATAAGCAGCAGAACACTTCACACCCCCTGGGCGAATCGGAAGAGGCACTGCAGTTGAAACTCGGATACGAAACACTGCCATCCTGCTAGGATGCAGCTAGCTGAGTTCAGGACATCCTCCTTGACGAAGATGTTCACCGCGGAATTCAAGTTCTGCTCACTGCCAAAGAGCTTCACATACTGATTCCTGGCGCATCCAGCTCTAGCTGAGCTGGAGTAAGACACCGGTTACAGCTCAAATGGGTTATCGTGGTTATCGCTCGCTTTGCAGAGCTTACGTACACTCGAGGGTAAGGCACAACAACCCCAACAGAAAGTCTGCGTCAACAAGTTCCCGAATGTGCTCCTCCTTCTTAGTTTGGCACCTCCTTATATGTCAGTCCTATGTGGGTATAGGCCCGAAAAAGGATGTCCTGGGTGTCAAAGAAACCCACATATTAGCAGCTACCAAGGCTCTTGAACAGCTTTTGCCCGAGCTTGTAAATTTCCCGGCTCTTGTTGGACACGTATTTCGCCATCCTGTCAAACAGATAAAGGAGGCTCAGAAGTCAGAACGTGTGCAAGCGTCGGCGACTTAAGAACACGAGTGGGTCAGGAGTTGGCCCTGTAGCCTGCATGCATCTGGAATGCAAGGAACGACGAATGAGTTGAATCCGTTCGAGGGCAAAGCGGCTCGCTATCGAGATGCAGGCCCCCGCAAATTTCCCGTGGCCCTCGTGCATGGACGTGAGGGTTTGTTTCAAGATCTTTTATTTGGCGGGTTCGAAGCAAGGGTTACCCAAGGTACTTTTCGGATGGGTTGTAACTAGATTACCCGTAGTATGCTCGAGGCACTCTATTGTCTCCGAAATAAACATATCACACCCGACTCCTGACTTTCCAAGCTTCCAGCCACTCCGCCCTAGCAGCTACCTAGCACCCTTGACCCCTCCGCATCTCGACGCACCTCAACTCTTCCTCTGTCCACTCCAGCTTGTCACTGTTGCTGTTGCAATCAGGCGGCACCTGAGAGGGTGCCAAGTGCAGGGAAAACGAAGGAACAGTACAGCTATCAAAGCCATGGCACTGTTCGACCAATCTTGGCCACATCCTGTGGTGTCAGGCCATACAGCTTACCCAAGGTCACCAAGGATTCGTCCATTCTCTCCTGCAGCCCCACGAGGTCAAACATCGTGGAGAGCGTGGCCAAGGATTTCTCAAGTGACTCTTCGCCCAAATATCTCTCATACTCACAGCAGGAGCGTCGCAAGATGGCCAACGACTTTGCGCCTCTGGGAAACGACTTCTGATGCTCAAACTGCTCCAACGACCAGTTGCCGGCAACGTAGTCCCTGCAGAAGGCAAGGAACCCATAGAAGCCCTGCCGTGAGGAGTAAGCCTCAGATTCGTCGAGACAAGATACGAAGCACAAGTGCAAGACCCTCCCACCACGGCCTACCACCTAACACTCATCGAAGCTTCCATGTAGAAGTTAAAACAACATGCTTGAAGACTTAGCTTGACGAGTTCGGGAGGATGATTGTGTGAGTTTGAAGCTCCCGCCTGAACTTGTGGATGGGCAAGACATTACTCTGGGACGGGCTCGACAAGGCCTCCGTTAAGCGTGAAAGCAATCATTGTCTTTGTTCGGACGTTGTGGGCCTGCTGGAAGACCAGAGTTTGCTTAGGGAGACGTAGCAAGTTGTAGTCGTCAGGAAAGCAATAATAACACGAACCGTCACCTACAAACAATTTGATCCCGTATAGTCTTTCGTATACAACGAATCCACAATAGCCACGGATGGGATACGTTTCTGCTTGCATGAGCTGTGGTCTTTACTCTTCACTGATTCCTTCGGAAAAAGCCAACCTTTTGGGCGGTCCTCCTGATAACCTCGCTTCCGCGGAGCCTTTCGCAATGGTTTGATGACTAGATAATTAGCCCTTCCGCGATGCTTCTGCGAACAGGGTTTTAGTCTTGCGCTGGGTTCGTTTGGTCATGAAGGGGCTTCTGTAAGAGCTCGCTCGAGTAATGTGCTTCTGTGAAACCTTCCGCATACTTCCGTGCGTACAGTGGGATACAAATTTTGGAAGCCACGCCGGGAGCTATCTCCGTATCTGAAAGTAATTTCCGCAGAAAAGCGCAATCAACACCGAAACTCAGAGACTAGTGACCCACTCAGTTGCAGTTACGAGGCTGAAGCTTGGGTGGCTGCTGAAATGTAATCAGACTGAATGTCATTTCAAGCGCGGCTTTTTCCTTCCTACATAGCAAGGACGAAGCCCGCATCGCAGGGTAAAAGGCGCTTGACCGTCGGGGTTTTCTGCGTCAAGTGCGAGTCTGTCAGGAAGAACAGCAGGTGTCAGGCGTCGGTCGAGTGGCATTGTCGTAATAATAATAGGAGCGGAGTCGTTCTGTTGGCTCGCGGAGGATGGTGGTGAGCTTCAGACGCTTCTGGACGAAGGTGGAAGGAAGCCAACTTCGAGCCCAGGAGACCTTGCGCTTCTCAGAAGCTTGACAGCTGTGACACTAAACGTAGAAGCCTACGAAGTTCGAGGACTCATGCTGCTACTTGTTGGGGATAGCACAAGCGAAACTTCGAACACCATGAAATGGCTTTGCCGAAATCGGCCCGGGCACTCTCGCAAGCAACTCAAAACGTCTCGCGTCTGGGTAGAGATTCCTTGAGCAATATCAACACATGTGCAGCGTGTCCGATGCGGCTTGGGTTGCACGCCATCAGAGGACGGGGCTTCACATGAAAGGAATCATGTCACAAAAAGCAAGCAATTCCTGCGACCGAGGCATGACATACCTTCTGGAATGTACACCAAGTCTGCGGAACACAAGCGTGACCGATGGGACGCCACTACACTCCCCTGCTCAAGACTTGGTGCCTTGTCTGAGTACGGAAGCCAAAGCAAGACAAGGCTCTGCAAATCGGATAGGACCGGACTCGTAACTGCCAATGTCTGCCCTGACACCGCTTCTCGAATGACGTCCGTGCTGGGATGAGACGTGCAGCTGCCTCGGCTTCAAGACGGCTCGCCGTGCTGTTCTTTGTTTACAGATGAGTGCTCCCGCAAGAATACCAAGAAGCCATTCGGGCGCTTAGCACTTGTTTGGTGTGTGTAATTACTCGGAATTGCATGCCGCTCGAAGAGTGCGAGAGGTCCTTACATACTCGGCCTTTACTGTTTCTACAACTAGCACAAACTTAGTCAAGGACTCCTGGTCCCAAACCCAGAGGGTTGCACCAGCAAATGTTGCTGACGCCACCGTGTCTTCCTAGTGCCATCATTGTCGGAAGGTGAGGGGTGCGAATTCGCACCAAAAGAACTAAACATAACTTGTGCCCATGTTTACAAATACTGCGCCTGCCAGTGTTTCGTGCAGAAAACAATTTCGGCTCAGTTCCACCCTTTGATAAAGGTGATGAGCAGTATCCTGATTACGATGATGATGCAGGTGGTCCGGCGATGGCAGTAGGAGCCCAGCCCTGCCGAGACAGGCCGGTCATCCTTTCCAGCAGCCAGAAGCTCAAGTCCAGCGACAGCTTTCGTGATTTTCGCAGCACGAGCACTGTTAGCCCCAATCTGAAAAGCCGTCAGCATGTAAGCAGTTGGCATTATTCCACTCCAAGTTCCTCCTTGAGTCTCCACACCACAAGATCCGAAAGACAGCCCCAATCCATACTCCAAGCTGCGGGGGCGGGGATCCTGGCAGAATGGGACCACTGCCCAGGATTCACTTTGGCCCTTGCAGCTCGCAGCTTCCGGCGAATTCGGCCCGGCTTTCTGCCTTGCGGATATGTCAGAACCACTAGCACTTGGGTCCAATCAAAGAGGGTTGTGGGTCGTGGCTATCCTTTAAGTTTTGAAGCTACAGCTTCAAGTGAGCCTTGGCCCTCAGGCATATATCTCGCATCCAAAACCGTGGTGATGTTCTGATTGTTTGACTATCGTCTACCCCTGGACAGCCAACCATAAGGTTGCCGAGCAGGATTTGCAAACCGTGCTGTCCCCGCTGACAGCATGACTGGAGGAGGAATTTGTGCGGGGCTCTCAGGCGTGGTGAAGTACAGGAGTCGACAGCTGCCTGAAGCTTTCGTTGCTGGTTCTTGGGATTGGCACGTTTTTCTCTTTGGGCTTCGGACTCTGAGGCTTCTGTAGCCTATGACTTCTGCGAGTGTAGTGTTTACATTCCAAGTCATAGACTCTGATAGACCTGAAGAAAAGCTTTGCCAAGAGTGGCCGAGCCGAGCGTGTTCCAGCGTGCACGAACATCGGAATGGCTGCGGTTCTGACCCCACTCAACAGCTCAACAAGGCTTGCAAGATACCTTCTATTGCCAAACTTAAACTGTCGGAATACCAAACACCTGTCTTTCCAGGAAGCTGCTCGCAAACCCAGTCTGGGTTGCCGCAAAGCGAGCTGCAATCGTACCACTCGCCTTGGCTGCCAAAAAGTTCTGAAGTTATACGTGGCACCCTAGGCATACCTAGATCTTTGGTGTTTGGCACTGCTTGAAGTTGCGTCTCGGCCCGTCTAGGCACACAAGAACTGTTCAAGGCTCCACGGCTCTCAGCACAAGCCTTCACAACGAAGCTCAGCCAGTTGCAAATGCATCGCACAAAAATGCCGTATCCAAGCCTTGATCCTTCCGGGTCAAACATGTTGGGCATCACAGGAAGCTTAAGGTGACAGCAACACAGGCAGCCCCTCGTTGTGTTTTCTTGGCTTGACCTCTGCAACCCAGACACCAATCATCCTGATGAGGTAGAGCTGCCAAGTAGTGCCTGCCACCTTGTGAAACTTCACGAACCTCATTGGCAGAAGCAGGTGCCAGCTTTCGGAAACGCATTGACCTCGTTCAACACGATGCAAAACACAAGTGTGAAAAGCTGGCGTGACTAGCTTCAAAGTGCTGGATTGAATGTGTCAGAGCTTTACGTTTGGGGGTCAACGAAGCAATTTGGATTCAGGGCCATTTCTTTCGCCAAAAACAGGGAGTGCATATCCTCGTCAGCTTGCACCACCTGGACGCGGGAGTCATCCTGCAGCCTGGCATGCGCCAGGGTGCAAGTGGTGTCCTGAAGACTCAGCGCAACCCGTCCACGGCATTGGCGGCCTTAAGGCGTGCTGCAAGAACACGACATCCGTGCGCTGTCGCTCCGTCCTTGGATTTCAACTCAGCTGACTGTATTTTGGAGTGTGATGGAGGCAAGGCTTGCAGGCGCTTCTTGTGGACTCTTGACTTACGGACTACGGGCCCGTACAGCATGGCACGCGAGGGGTCTGATGCTAAGAAGATAAAACCGCCGAGACGAATCGCTGCGACATGAAGTCACAACTCCGACTCGCCTCTTACGTCGCCCTCCGGGTTTGGGTGGCAAACAACGGGGCCCGCGTCTCGCAATGCTGTGGTTCAGGGATGGGCGGCTTCCCAGAGGCCTCTCCGAATTTCGGGGGGAGGGCCAGGCATTCCACATGATGTCCCAACGGCTGGCATAATCATTTGCACTTTATGATTCGGCATGGCCTTCAATATGCTCTCTTCCAAGGGCTGGATGTTATTTGGACTTGCTGGGGCCGCTTTTGTCAGGGGCCTCCAAAACTATTTTCAAAAGACTGGAACTGTGGTTCGGGATCGGGGGGATTTCCACTCTCAAACTGAAGCGCGCCGATCCGGAAATATCAAAGAGTATCAAAGACATACCCGTACTGAAACGGACCATGGTAAACAAACACACCGCACCAAGGCGTTTATGAATGATCAACGCCACTCAGAACCGTGGCTATCAGGGAAGTAGGTACAGTCACAGTTTGTCGCCTTGCGGAGTCACGACGGTTTTCATACAGGCCATAACAGCCGAGCCAATGGTAATTATGTACGTGCATAAACGACAAGTAGCCACTCTCACGACAACGGCGGCAAAAGCGGTGGTTCGGGATACCGGAACTGCCCAAAAGCTTGTCCAACGCAAGGATAAGTCGGATAAGCCGAAAGCCCAGACAAATCATTAGGCCACGCGGCCACAACAATTACAGGCTGGAGTCGAGGGAGCTGGCTTCCGAAGGCTTCCAAAATCATTTTTCCGAAGGCCTGGAAAATCATTTGGTGCAGGTCTGGCAAGAGTGTTGGATTGTAAAATGCTGGATGCTGTCCACTGCCGCTTTACTACCCCCTATAAAAGCGGCCTAAGCAACCGCAAACCAGCAGGCAAAGCAGCAGCAAGCACGCTCGGGCAGCTACCCTTTTCGCTGCAAGAAGACATCGATGCTTCGGCGGATGCTGCCACTATACGCTGCACACAGGCTGCACATCACACCCCCACCCCGCCACAACCGCCACCTGTGCAGCTTCTACCTAGTACTTCTGAGATAGCAAACGTAGCAACAATACGTACAACGACATGTATTGCTGCCGCTGCTGCTGCAAAACTACCCAAGCCGCTGCAAATTGAGCAAAAACGCACCCTTGCTATTTAAGCATGCAAGGTGCAACAGACGTATTGACTGCAGGCGCATTGACTCAACCTGTTCATGAGCGGCTTCCCAGAGCTGATCTCGGTCCTACCCTACCAAACACTCTTTGCACTGTCTGTCTAGTCCTGGCAAGCGGCTCCGCATCGTAGTGGCCCCGGGCGGTTTGCAGCGAAGCGCCCAGCAGGACGAAAAGCACGAAGGACATGGAAGTTCAGTTGTCTTGTACCGCTCTTCAGTTTCACATTGGCTGATGGCGGGGCCTATACGGTGCTGAATACTTCGTGCACTTTTTCTAAGGCATGCATCCTGAACTGTGAACGCCTGTAGAGCCAGCACTTGCGAGGAGAGGGAGATGGGTCCTTGTGCAGCCACTTCTTTACCGTCATGCACGCGGCAGCGTAGTATCCTGCTCCAAGCCACAAGCACACTATGGGAAGCGTGATTTCTTCACGATTATGCACAACGTAAAACCAAAGGAACTATTCTCCCACAAAGCACGCGAGATTCATAGGGTAGGGCCTGAGAACGTGGGGATGAAATCTTGTTTAGCTCGCCATCAGGAGTTGGATCCTGAACCTGACCTCATGTGCTGGAACAGAAAGTCGTTCAGAGTTCTCAGCATATGTTTCCATTACATGTTGAGGATATGGAAGCGAAGCTATTCCAACGGCGGCAGAAAACAAGGAACGGGCAACAGCAAGTTCGGGTTGACATCTAGTCTCCGGGCCTTCCAGCGAGCTTGCGTTTGGGCAGCGCATAGTAGGGTCAGAGGTTGGTGTTCAAGGAAACACCTGTGCTTGATTAGAAGCTCAACTGCGTCATTGCTGGAGTGAATCTTCAGGGTTTCGTGGACTTGGGCCCACGGTACAATCCCCCACTAGCACTGACAGGCTGTGCCAGCCCGGTGAGAATATTCAGCGCGCAGCCTGCGGCTTTACTGGCTCTGTTGGCCAGCTTTTGCAAAATGCGGTTTACCGTCCACACCAAAACGAAAGCTTGAGGCTGAGACCTGCAGTGAGACACGGCATGCGACATGGAATTTTAAGTTCACCTGGCCTACCCACCGTGAGACTCAGCAAGTGACACGATCACTGGAGAAAGGCAAATACTTGGAAGGTGCTGTGCTCCCGCGACTTTTTTCCAGGGGACTGCCCCACTTCCACACAGTCTGAGACATGGCTGCTGCTGCCAATTCTGGGAGACCTCTGCGCGAAGTCGCGGCTACATGGCTCCCCTCTCTCTCTCTCTCTCTCTCTCTCTTTTTCTCTCTCACTCTCTCTCTCGCTCTCTTGCTATCTCTCATCCGCTCATTTCCCTCCCTCCGATTCTTCGGTGATTGTTGAATGCCGCTAGCAGGGGCAACACCCTACTTCTCCAACAACAATCAACAGCTGACAAAGTATCTCGCTCTGTCAATCAAGGAAGGAGACTGGGCTACAACGGCTGCCATGCTTGTGTGAATGGGGTCATGACGTCCCCGGAGCACGCTAGCAGTTCGAGAATTGCGAGGTGGACCCTCCAGCAGTGTTCTCGGGGAAATAGCGTCTGCAACGGCATCAATGAGACAAAAAGGGCTTCCTACACATTGGTATCTCACCAAGTGTACAGCCGCGGCAGCCCTAGACCGTCGAATGTCCGGCGAAAACCCTCCCGGTTTCGCATCTGACTGACTTGCAGCCTTGCAACAGGAGCAGGAATGGCCTCGCACTTCATCACAGTCCCCTCGCAAACAGCTCCCGCGGAATGCACAGCAACACCATGACCGCAACTACCTCAGCCGTGAGTCACGCGCATGGTTGCACGCTGCTGGGCCCAGTTCGAGCTCCATCGCGAGCAGATTGAATGCCAAGCCCCACCCTCTCCTCCACTCCGATGCAGATGTACCTACACGGCTCCCACCTTTCAAGAACTCGTCCTGTCACCTTCTTGCAATTCGTAAGACGGATCAAACACAGTAAACCACAAAACTCCAAACCGCTTAGAATGCCCAAGCTGCGTAGAGGACAGCTCCGAAGAGGAAAGGTGCCTTACGTAAAGTAAAGACGTCTCGCTTTACTTCATTGTAGGAATGCCGCAGGCCAGGCAGACACTTAAGGATTGCAACTGCTTGGAAAATCACTACAGCATGCAATGACAACGATGTACTGAGCTGTGCGCAGCCTCTGCTAGATTTAGATATGAGGTACCGTATCGCAGAGGATTCCTCCAGCAAAAATGGGCTATGTCCGGTCCGGTGGGCAAGCGTCTTCTACCAATCTCTCGTGTTGGACATGCTGACAAATCAGCTTGCTAGTTGGAAGTGTTGGAAGCCCACCTCCGGATGAATTCGACCGCCAATGGGCAGGCGGAGACAAGATGACAAAATACCTGGAGTGCTGCAGGGGGTGCAGCTTGCGTTTTTTGCCGGGCCTATACACATTGCATGGATGTCTTGAGCTAATCTTACTTTGCGGGTTGAAGTAATTTCTTGTCTGCACCACCTGTCCAAGCTGTTTCTACAACAAGCTTTCGCCGCAGAAGTCACCAGCCCAATCTCCATGTCCCTTAAAGCACCACAGGCATGGGACAGTGCCGCGATATCAAAAAAGGCTACGTGCATGTACGAGTTGTCGATGTCCCTCGCTTCCTGGCCTTGGAAGGCCGGATCACCAGCCATGGTCATCAATGACACCATCGCCTCCAAGCTGGAGAAAGAAATCCTCACTTCCCGCTTTAGCCAAGCTGTCAACGCTATCCCCGCACTGAGGTTTCCTAGCCCCGAGACTTGGACAGTCCAAGCCCTGCATCCTGCTTGAACGAAGCTAGTCTTCCCAATTCAGGAGAAGCTTGTTACAGCTTCGACCGCACCTCCCAAGACCTGCCAGAACACAAACCAAACCACAACTCACTTACGGTCTCCCCAAGCATCCCCCCCGGTGGCAGCCTGGAGTGCTCCAAGCGCCACCGCCGGTGAAAGGCCCGTGTCCACGGCTCCTGCCACATTCCTTGACTCATGGCGCAGATCACTTCTGGCAGAGGCTTTGTCCCAATACAAACGGAACCGCATTGCCTTGACAGCTAAGCAGAGCTGGCTAGAACGATTCTGAGGGAGTTGGCGCAGTGCCAGGGATCGAGAGAACGGTCTGAAAGGCTGGAAGGCCCATTGTCGACAGGCCCCAGAAGACCTTAGACGATGCGGGGAGGCTTCAAGCACATGCTCGGAGCCTACTAGTCGTCGACAGAAGTTACAAACAACAACACATAGGATTCACGTAACTTGTCTTGATGCAACATCGAACACCTCAAGTCCCTGGATCAAGGCTGGAAAGTCGCACGAAAGACTCACGCTCCCACTGTCCAACACAAAGAGCTCGAAGTGTTTGTCTCTGTTGCTCTTTGCCTCGCCTCCTGCTCAGAAGGTTACAGGTCTCCAAGATGGTCTCCTGATGTATGTCGCAAGAGAGTCCCGCTTGCAGACTTGCATAAGTATAGGAGCCAGGCACGGAAGGCACACGGCCTCCCAAACATACAGCAGTCAAACACCAATACGTGGATGCCAAACCAAGGCACACTGACCAGGTACTGCCCGTGAAGGGTCGGCACTACGGCCATTGCAAGCATAAGTCCTGATTGGGTTCAAGGCCAGATCTGCTAGGTGAACTTTCGATTTATAGCCAAAAGCTTCGAAAAGCTGCAGTCAGAGCTCACATGTGCTAGAATCGTTGAGTAGCGCTAGTACCCGCAATGCATTAAGTCTCATTGAGAGCGCACAAAGAGCTGAGAAAACCCACATCAAGATAAGCCTCACGGCTTCAGCATCTTGCTGTAGGCTGCTGCCAGCTTCCGTTGCATGATTGCTTGGACCCGGAAACCCTCTGCCACAAGTGCCCCTGCCCTCCCGAAAACCATGAATGTGCGCCGTGTGCACGTCGGAGTTGAGGAACGTCAATAGTTCGACTTTCGCATACATGGACTCAAACTCCAAACAGAATAGCGCTACACCACAGTTGACTTTTGCATTTGTGATAAACGCGGTGAGAGACCTGTTTTGGGCTAACAAGGCGAATCCGTCGATTGGGAGGTGCAGCGATTTCAAGGGCAATGGGGATCTCGAATTCAGTTCTATTTGGGATGGCACGCCAGGTTAAATTCTGGATGGTGTAAAGCCAACACGTGTGTCCTCTGCCCAACCTTCTTTTTTCCAATTGGGTAACGACAGTCGGGTGATGATGAAGGAAGGATAAGGAAGGTGGAGATTCTTTAGGACTTTTAGGTTTAGGTGTTGCGCAACTTTCCGGAAAGTGGATTCGTGCTTCACTGCCACGGCTCCAGCACCCGCTGCAGCCGCCAGGATGAACACACCCCGGATACCCACCTCAAAAATCAAAATTGTCGGTTACGGCCAAACCCAAGCATACGTGATCGGAATCCTGCCTCCCTCGTCTCCGCCTCTCCCTGCCTGTCTCCGAGTCTCTGATTCTCGCTCTGTCTGGCTCTCGCGAGAATCAGCTCTCTCTCTCTCTCTCTCTCTCTCCCTCCCTCCCTCTTCTTCTTCTTCTTCGTCATGCGATGGGTGCGCACCTCGAGGCTGGGGAACAACCACTCTCTCGCTCTTGCTCTCCTTCGCTCTCTGCATGGCTTTATATTTGTGACAATTTATTGACTTGAACCTGCTACGTACAACATGTCGCTCCCGGCGCATGAATCTAATGCACACATAACGGTGCTAGACTAGCTGTACATCGGCGACTTCAAGATTGCAAAGTCTCTGTGATTGTTGAGCTCGACAGCTAATCGTCTACTTTTCAATGCTAAGCTGTTCTCCGGCCTCCGGCCATTGAACTCATCTGACGGCATGGTTGCCGCGGTTCTCTTAGGTAGCATCGACTTCATTTCTCACCGTGTTTTGTCTCCCCCCCCTCTTCCTACCTCCCAGCCCCCCAAGTATCAGTGCTGGTGGCTGTGGGAAGTCTAGATGACTTTCAAGCACTGAATCCGCATTGTCCCAACGAGTAAGACCCATGACTCTGGAGCCAGCGATATGTCTCTATGTCTCTGTCTCCGGCTTAGCTGAGCCTGCTGTTGACAGAAAGTGCTTCTCGAACACCGACCCACCACCTTCGCAGATCCGCTAGTGGACAGTACCGCAAGGCTTGGACTGGCCCCCATGTCCACATGCACAAGCCAAGCAACGTCATGCAAGCTAAGCTACGTATCTTCGCTCTGCGCCACACCATTCCACGGACAGGCCGGGGAACCAGTGACAGCAACTGTCACGGCAACACCAGCAGTAGTACCGGATCCCGTCTGGTCCAGAATTAAAACCCTCGGTCGGGTCAGCGAAACCGCAACCCTGAGATTTTTCATCGCTTGAGACGCCCGCCCGGTTCTCCAGCGGCTTTAGGAGGAAGAGCTGAACAAGGCAGTTGCTCCTCGGCACTTCGTGCTTTCCTCCGTATGCCCAGATACATTTGAAACCATGGCGTACAGATGCTCCAAGAAACCAAGGAGGCAGTGGTAAATAGTTGCAGGTAGCAAGCTGGCAGCAAAGGGCGGCACTGAGTGGTAACCAGTAAATAGCTTTTATCATTGCAGGTAGGCAGTAACTGTACTCATGGCAGGTATAAGGACTAGCGACCTTGCAAAGCAATGTGCCCGGGGGCGTTCTGATTCATTTCCCCCATTCTGCTGGCATGAACTGGAACTGACAAGGCGACAGTGGTGAAATTCCGGAATGGCGCTGCTTAATCCGTGCTCTTGTGGTTTGGCCAACTTCACTGCATCCTCGGAAAATTGCTGATCATCGATCAGAGCTGCCCCCGCTAAGGACCATGACTACTTTCGGGCTCTAATGCTGGCCAGGTGGCCAGACTCAACCCAAGAATTTCAAGACCGCAAACTTTTGTCCGGAAACCTTGATTCGCCTAAGTCACGTGCAAAGCCCGAAGCAAGTTAAGGGTCCCCATCTCATTCTGGCCTAAGTCGTGGGATTGCTAGTTTGAGGAACCTCTGCTACGGCCGAAGCTCATGGTGGTCAGTGCCACAAGCGGGGCAAAGGTCTCCATGGTTGCCCCAAACCTCTCCTCGGGTCTTTGGCTCAAGGTGCCATTGCTGATGAGAAGTGATACAATCTGTGTCTCGCACTCCCTCTCAAAATTACAAACTCCCTGGTGCACGCCATAAAAGGTGCGATGTCTACAATGAAGTCAGTGGCGCCTTGCAGAACAGGAACTGGACGCCAGTTGCTCCGGCGCTCGCAAACGTTCCTCAGAGACTTTATGAAGGGTTACCAATTGCAAGGGCTGCAACACTTGCAGCAATGCATTGCGCTTGTCGACCCATGCACCCAAAACATCCCTTCGGAACCTCACATCCGGATCAAGACGGTAACTCATTCAAACCTCGACTTGCCAATGGGCCGATCATCCCGGACACGATGAGCAGTCTCAAATCTCTGTCAGAAAGCAGCTCGGACATACCCTTCCTTAGAGACAGAGACCAGCAGATTGAAAGGGCAGCTGGTTCTGGTTTTGATCTGTTTGCGCCCTGGAGGCTTTGCCAGCAAAACGGGCCATTCGGGAAAACATAATGCGCCGCAAAGTTGCGACAGGCACTGTCCCGTCAGCTGTGCAAGTACCACTGGCAAAATAGCTTGGCCACGATGGAAGCAGAGCATCAGTTCTCACACAGTGCATGAATATTTTGCAGCTTGTGTCCCCAGTTCTTCCCGACGTGTGGCCCTATCTCGGATCTGCAAAGCTACCCCTCTTCGGGAGTTTGCAGTAGGAAAGCCAGACCTGGACAAGGATCTTGTGCAAACGCTGAGATGGAATTCCACCTTGCTCAAAGTTTCTAGTTTGAGCTGGCAACTCTGACTATCGGGAAGCAAATACCAACACCTTAAGACTTTCCCAAGCCGATGTGCAGTATATAAGGCCCATACCTCACTTGCAGATGTGGTGTTGGCAGATTGACTTTTTCAGACATATTTCGTTGAGTCGTAGAGCCTGAGGGCAAACCAACAAAAACAAAAGAAGACCAAGGAAGTCTCCGTCAAACCCCCAAACTCTGACATGAGACAAACCTCAGTGCAATCCGTGTGCCAGCGCTGAAAGAACGCACTTCTGCCATCAGAGAGCATGCTCCTGCTTGCGTCAGCTGTTGAATTTGAGATCTGGCCAAGCTCAAGCCTGTGTGACAGACTGGACTACAACATTGCACTCAAAAGCCATGTCATTTCCAACGGGAAGCCCAGGTTTCCACTCAACATCCAGTCATCCATGATCCAGGATCAGATCAAGGACCGAAGCGTGTGCTTACATGCACTTCAGCACTTGGGGATTGGGCACTGGTCCTCGCCGATGAACCCAGCATGTCTGGTGGACGAGACTCGCGCACGCCGACTTAGATCAGCACAAGCAGATGAATCCCCAGGTACGTTGGCCACTAACCTAACAGAGGATGCTGTTGGGATGCACCTGCAAAGTAAAATGCTGCCGGAGTTCCTGTGAGTCTGCAATTTTGCAGTGGGGTCCAATGCTGCCCCCGGAATTTCAGAATCGTGAGTTGTCCACAGGGTGGCACTGCACGTGTGTAGGCAAGGAATTTGATAGCAAAACATCGCAAATCCTGAAACCAAACTCTCCTGCCGCACGTTGGCAAACTGCAATCGAAGGAAGCACTCACAACAATCATCCGTACACAGAAAGTCCAACCACTTGAGGAATGAGAGTTGTGCTTTCCCCAGAGTTCCTACGTTTGGAGCCCTGCCCTCAACGGGGGTTCTCCTTGAAAGCTCTGTGCGGCAAGGAGGCGGATCATAACCAAGAGCCCGAAGACTCGGACAAATGCCAAGACCAAAACCTGAAACGCGCTTTCCACAGTACTCGCATCGATATGCCTTGATATGGGATTGGTTTTGAATCGAACCGACATCCGCCTATTTCTCAACGAAAAAACCGTTCCTGAACGGCATCTGGGTTGTTTGGAGCAGCTTGCACAATATGCCTCACACATGAGCAGCCGTGGACTTTTGCATCATTTCTGGGTTAATGGGGTTCTCACTTCGATAGGTGGGCAGACCCTCCATGACCTTAAGTATACTGTCGTACCACAACTCCCAGGGCGTAGGTATATTCTTGCCGACGGAGAACAAAAGCAGTACAAATGAGAACCGAAACATGAAAACTGCCTGCAAATAACTTCGTTGTAGTTGTTAAGCCGCTTTCCTTGACAGCCCTGATAGCGAAAGTTATTGTGCATGTCAGGTTGAGGCTTGCGGTGCAGAACTTGTCCTGCCAGGTTGCTTATAGGGGCCTTGACTCCGTGAAAACACACCGAAAGAGACAAGTCGAAGGGTCCTTCCTCAAGTTTTCGACGATTCTGATTGAATTCAATGTATCTTTACTCTGTTTAGTGTAGCAGGAAGCTCTCGATGGAGCGTTCGAACAGTCAGGAGGGCAAGCGAAGTCATAGGCTTGAAGGTCCAGAGTAAACTCCAGCAAGCAGAACCAGTCATTGCAAAGCCTCTGACAGGCTCCGAGAGTTTTGGCAAAGCGACTTGCACGGTGTGCCACACGTAGTCTCCTCGATATAGCTTTCGTCAACCCAGGTTCGAGTTAGCAGCTGACACCCAAACTGATGACAGATTTGAAAGCGACTGTAGATGCTAGCTGCTAGACTGAACCTCTCTCTCACACGGACTCGAATCCATCATGCCGCTAGACTGAACCTGAACATTGGAAACAGCAAGCCTGAACGCTCAACGCCAAGCGAGCTTGAACCGACGCTTTCAGACCGGAGTTGCTCTTTATCTGTAGGAAAGAAGCGGCAATTTTTCCATTGCGCGCCATGATGGCAACGAAAGGAACCACGACGCCTCCAAGGGCTTATTCTTGGTCGACAAAGACTACTATGTTTATAGTGTCAGTATCAGTACTACTGCCACAACTCTAAGCCCTAAGCCATCAACTCAATTCCGAAGATTCAGGCCTGAAGGATTAAATCTGTTGAGTATTAAGCGTCGAAGATGTCGGCTGTAAGCGAAACAGCCCAGCCTTGCTCGCAATCTAACACCTGAAATCCCCAAGCCCAATCTCGAACTTGCACACTCAAAACATGCTCAACCCACACCTGGACCTGGGCCCATATTTCACACAAGAGCAAGGCCTTCAATGTTCGTGGCCGCAGCAAGTCTCCCAAACATCTTCCCACGCTCGTTTGGTGGAGTTTGGTCACAGATCCATAGCCTGGCTCTCGATGTGGACAAGAAAATAGTATTGACTACGCAAGACACATTCTCTCCAATGTTGTTGCAAGGGAGAACAAAGCTTCAGTGTACTTACACCTTTCATATCCGCAGTCTGGCAGTACAGTAGCAGAGTCGGGGAATGCAAGAGAAGATCCCATGTTAAATTATGCATTTTGGTTCAGTGATAACAGGAACATGCACTCCGAACGCATTATGTTGCCCTCGCGGGAGCTGAAAACGACTGGAATTGAGAAATGCACCACATCAGCATAGGGATGGAGAACATGTTCGGGATCATCGCGGCTACGAAGAAGTAGTAGATGGATGTACCGGCCTCAAGATCGCGACCAATCGGCGCTCAAAGCAAGGGATCTACTCCAGGAAATGGTGTTTCTGTGTGAGTCTGTGTGAGCCTCCAACAGCCGCTAGATACCTGAAGCCAGAGGTTGTAACATCACAAACTCTGTAGACCTGTGTCCACCTAGGCACAATTGAATGCTTCAGGCCTGGTGTTGCTCTGCCCCAAAATACGAAAGACACACAAGACTTGACCTTCTAAGTCTCGTGCGTAGACATCGCAGATGAGCGCAATGAGAGCTACCTGCCACAAGGCCGCAAGGCTCAGGACATGCCGACCGAGCAGATCTCGCACAGGTATTGCCGCTCGCCTTCGAAGATAGACACCCCACAATTAGCATCGGCCGCCGGCCGAAGTGATCAGAGCAGGAGCCTTTGCTTGTAACCCTCGGTTCAAGGCTTCTCCAGGATAGGATTCAGGGCTCCAAAGGACAGGGTGTAGCCCAATCTCGAGATGCCTTTGCAGGCTCCTGCGACACCTTTCAGACAGGCTTTATTGTAGGTGAGTCATGCTGACACAGGCAAATCAGCCACGGGTCCGACGAACGGAATCACAAAGATGCTCATGAAACCTGCTGCTGTCTGAAACCTTAGCACGACCATCTTCTCAGGCACAAGTCTAAGAGTAAACTGTTGCCGGTGGAAGCTTCGGGACTGGCCGCCTGGTACCGTAGTAGTAGCCCTTCGTCATCGGATGCGAGATGCCAACAGTTAGTGGTCTTGAAAGCACCCGAAGCCCTGGAGGAGACCTACATACCCCGAAACGGCTCGTAAAGATCCCTAAATCCTGCAGACAAAGCCCAAGACCGAACACAACATCCAAGGCTCATCGCACCCACCGCGGAAGCCTTGGCAATGATCCTTCGCTTGACCGGCACTTATAGCGACGCGTTCTAGGGGCTCGATAGGAAGCCATTTTGCATTCGGAGAGGGGGTCGGGCCCGGGAAGGCAGGAAGTGGTAGCGGGACGTGGCTTCGGCTAGCAACAAAATCCCATGTCCTCTACGACCTGCCCATGACTCAGATCACTCTTTCCACTTGAAGGCCTAAAGACCCCGGGCAACTTAAGTGCTCCAAAAGCTCTTTTGGCACTGAGGGCTGCCTGCCCCTGTGCCGGCGCAGGCATCAATGCCACCATTCAGCGATGCTACAGCGAGGTCGGGGTAGAGCAATTTGACCCTGAAGCTCAGATTGAGGCTAGAGTCGGCTGGAGGTTTTGGAATGCGTGAGAGAGCTGATGCTTGAGTTTACAGGTATTGTAGGGCTGGAGCTCAGGAGCCTAACCAGACCCAGAAGGCTTGAACTCGAAACCTTGCCTTGTGTCACGCAGCCTCAACAACAGGAGCTAAGTTCGCCAACTAATCCTCAAAGGTTTTTCCGTGTCCGGAACTTTGATACTAACAACCTACCACGGCAAGAACAAACCCGCAACCTAAGCCTGAAGGCTTTGCACTTCGAGCTTGTCTGCCTGGGGCCTTGGAAGTCATGTTATAAGCTTTGGAGCTGCAGACGGAACTCCCCATCTTCGGGCAACAGTGAGGCGAAGTGACATAATTGTCGCCATGTTCTCGAACACGACAGCCTCAGGATGCTGCTGAGAGGCCAGGAGTGCGCTCGTTGAGCAACCTCTACGTCTTTTTCTATACGGCATCAAGACCGCACGCCAATGTGTTTGGCCTGACTGTGCAGGTAAGCCCACCAGGCCACCAGGTTGGGGCCCGCATCTTCTTCACGCAACAAAAGCATCCGCGCCTTGTTTAAATGCTCCTTAACGCAAGAGGCCTGACATCGACAGCTGGGGCCCTCCGAGCAAGAGTAGCTGATCTAATCCTGTATCCACGCCCAGAACCGTTGTTATTCGCCTCGGCCCCGGCCGAAGCAATCAGAGGTTCTCACAAGGATTCCCTGTTTCCCACCTGCTCTGGGACCCCCGCCCCCCCTCGGCCCTCCCCCCACCACCCTTTTCCCCCCTTCCCTCGTCTCTTCCTTGCGGCAAGGCAAGACAGGCTAGCTTACAGCATTCGTGCAATTGATGCCAAGGCCTGGTAATTTTGGGGCTGTGTCTTGTACTTCGTTACAAGGCGTGATTTCCCATTCCCCTCCAACATATGGGAGGTTGTAGTGAGAAGTGTAATTTGTTTTTTTCTAATAACGTCCATGGGCCACCTTTCGCGTGGGATGTTTGCTCAGAGCCTTAGCATGAAAGAAATACTGACATTAAAAGCGCATTCAGGCAATGCATTTTATTCACGCAAGACAACACCTGTGTGCGCACCTTCAGGCACAGCCCGGCCGAGGCCGAGGCGACGCGAAGCGTTTAAAGATGAGGCTACAAAACTTCAGAGCCTTTTGAGTCCTTTTTTTATTCCAAGGAGCCAGCCAGAATGGCCCCCAAATCCTGCAGGATGCCGAAAAAGGCGGCGGGCGCCAGCCGCTTTCGCCGCTCTCGCTCTCCGAGCGAAGGTTCAGGGGCTGGACATTGCCCGCTGGATCCAGCTCCGTCATCCTTAACCGTGTCAAACTGCAGACAAATTTGGACTGAGTTTGGGTAAGGCAGGTACGGCCATCCTAAGTCTTGCACAATCTTGATTTGAGGCTTGAGAAGAAAGCTCCTGCGTGAACTTGCATGCCTAAGGGCCCTTGGGGCAAGCGAACCACCAGTAACAATGCACTTCCCTCCCTCATTCCCCCTCTGTCTTGCTTGCTTGCTTGCTTGCGAAGGGGTTTGGGCACATGCAAGCATGCGCCCTGGCCCGGAGGCCTACCCTCCTTGGTGCGCGTCGGTACGTCTTCGCGGCCACGGCCCCTCTCGGGGTGGGTTGACTGACACGTCTCTCTCTCGCTCTTCTTCAGCACTCTCTCTCTCTCTCTCTCTCTTTCTCTCTCTCTCTCTCTCTCTCTCTCTCTCTCTCTCTCTCTCTCGCTCTCTCACACACACACGCAGACTCCGTCACTGGCGACAGAACACAGCGAACACAACTTCAAGCGCTATTTTACGGGAGGCAACGAGAGTCGCATTCGGATCCTTGCAGCTTCATTCGAGGCCGTGAACAGCCTCTTCTTAGGAGTGTTGCAGAGCTCCGCTGTGGCTCTCCACTAGAAATTGCCGCCTTTGTCCTTGCTCATCACATCCTCCGTGTTGAGACTCACCTTGCTCTCGAGTGCCTCTTCTACACAGCAGGTGCCTTGCCACACCAAGGACACAGTCTTGTACACAGTCAGTGCCCCCAATGCACAGAGGACGAGCTGCAACATAGCATAGACGCTGCGGCCGCCAAAGTCAACAATGAAGCGGGCAACGATCGGAGCCATAAATCGGCTGATGTTCACGCCCATGATGTTTCGCACGCGATAGGTTTCGATACTGTAGCTTGTGCCTGGTGTAGCAGCTCGGCAAGCCCAGCCCTCCCCAATGCCATTGGCAACACTAGCTCCGCCATAGACGATGGCATCGGCAAGGAGCAGGCTGCCGGGCCCAAACTTGCCAAACAGCAAAAAGACGCCAAAGAGACCGGACAACGAAGCCGTGATGAAGACCATGGACTCGCTCATCAGTTTTCTCGAAAGCAAAAACGTGGAACATGCCGTAAGGACCAAAGAGGACGTGGCGATCACCATGAAAGCTATGCCACAGAACTCTGCTGTCCATCCGTAGGACACCTCGAGCAGCATGATGGTGGCGACCTCGATCGCCGCAACTGAGAAGGGTCTCTCGTAGGCATAGTAGATCATGAACCAAACAATCTTCTCACGGTCGCCTGGTGGCAACTGTTCTGGGCTGACCTCAAGTGGCTTCGTGGAGTGTTCTCCCTTGGCTTCGGCTGCTGGTGCCTCAGGCAGCGGGTTGATCTTCAATGGGAAGACCAATGATGCATACATCAAGCTCAGCAAAGAGAAGGCTGCCAAGCCTGTGAAAGACCACGCCATCATGGAGATAGGGGATACCTGGCAAAGCTGCAGCGGATTGCAAATGCATCTCAAGGCTAGGGTACAGGCAGTGTGGTCTGGAGCTCAGGGCTTTTAGAGATTATCAAAAGGTTCTTGCAGCACTGAGCCAAGAGACGTCGCGACCCCGCCTTACGACTGAACTGATGAATGCGAAGAAGGGCGGGCCGAGAAGGAAGCCACCATTGCGACAGCACTGCGCCATTATCATCCAGAACGTCTTCTCCTGTGGAGGTGTGATCTTGTTCCATAGTGTGTTCCAGGTGATTGTCGGCAAGGCAGCAGCACCGAACACGGAGCCTAGCAGAAGCTGACTCCACCAGAACGACTGCTGTCGAGCCGGCAAACTCCAGTGGACGCTCGCTTGCGTCAGAAAGGCTAAAAACAAATTCAGCGCAACGGAAAGAGAATTACAAAGGATGTAGGTCTGCCGAGCAAAGGCTTGGTCCCAGCCTGTCTCACTGTTCAGTGACCTTCCAACCACCAGCCCGAACACACTCAAGATCGTGCCACAGCCGAGGAACACGCCGCTGGCTGTTGCGGACTGGCCCATAGCAATGGCGTAGTCTAGGGAGAGCGGGACGATCAGCGAGGAGTTCACAAAGAAGCCGAACCAAATGATCAAGAACATCAGCTGGATGCGGAAGTTGTTGCTGTTCTCATGATCTGCCAACAGTGGCTTCTTGCTGGCAGCGGTATACACCTCGTGTGCTGCTAGAAGCACCGACAACAAACCGAAGAATGCGAACACGTTCGCACCAAAGGGCACCTGAAAGCTACTGAAATCCTCAGCTTGCATGCCGTCCGTGAGTGGCCCCGCACCATTGACAGCATTCTCAGTAGCCAGTGTTGCTGACACTGTATAACTGTCCTGCAGCCAGCAGATACCTGCAGCCCAGTCATGTTGCTCCAGGCCCGACAGCTCACTGGTGACCACAGGCCAAGCCCGAACAGGAATGGCCCTGGACAAGAAAATGGTCAGAACGAAGACCATGCGCATCTCTACAATATGTGTACAAGTTCGGTTTTCCGCGCAGGCGAAGGCTTCTGTTTCGGCAAAGTTCTTCATGGATTCATAGCTCCTTCTAGTGAAACAGCTTGCGAGATGCCGGGCTCTTGATGTTGCGAGTGCTTGCAGGTGTGACAACATTTCACGACAACATTTCGCATCCGCCGACCGCGATGCTACAAGAGCATGCCTGATGAACCACGCCTGCGGATCTTGTTGCAGAAGCCGCACTTCAAGGTCTCGCGCACTGTTTGATGAGGCAATCACCGTACAGAAGCCTCCGTGCTCTGCTACTTGCTGTCACATAGCACCGGTTCTGCGCTCCAGGGGCAGCTGGTGCAGAATGGCGCAGAAAATCTTTGGCGGCCTTTGTGGCCTGCTCATGTGACAAGCTCCCTCACGGTGCTTTTAAGAGGTCTGCTGTGGAACTTGAGACTGCTAGCGGCTGGTGTGTTATGCACTAGCTCAGCAGGCCACGAAATGAGGAAAAGCAAGGACATCCAGATGTTGTGGAGTTGAGTCTACCACCCCTGCATCATCGCAGCTGCATGCTGCAACCCACTCATGAATTTTGCGGTGCAGCCGGGCGGACATATCGGACCTCTCAGCCTGCCTTGTTCCCTAAGTGACCTCTTTCTTTCAGCATGCGATGTTTAATAGCCTTTGGATGTCTTGCAGTCTTGTGAGAAGAAGCCTCTTTCACATTCCAGGCCGCCTCCGGAGCTTTGTCTTTTGGCAGCGTAGTCTGCAGAAGTTCTGCGTAAAACATGTGGTATCTTCGTTGTCAATGAAGTAAGGTGGTGACCACTATTTTTCGTAGTAAGCTGGTTTGCCTACCTTTCGCTTGCACAGTTGCAATCTTGTCCATCCAGAATTCCGCCCGTCTTGTGGCACATTCCAGGGCATGCGTATTCTTGAAGTGAATTTTCCAGAGCAAGTATGCTGATTGCGCAGAAGGCTACTGTCATTCTACCCAAGCCTATGGCTGAGGTGGGTGCAAAGAACGTATCTTGACGTTTGTTCATTGATGTACATTTCCAACCTCAAGTTTCTGAGCGCTTGCACGTGGAGTACACCGTAGGTGTGGAGATGATGTGAATATGCCTGGGTTGGAACTTAGTGCCTGGCATCGCTTGGTGTCGACGCCATGAGCCAAGGAAGGGTGTAGTTGGTCTTTGGAAGGTTCGGGCAAGGCTTCCGACCCATTCGCTACCGTTGTGTCAATACTGCACTGAAGACTTTGCAACATTTTCCCAGAGTAGGATTGCTAGCCTGAAGCCTCCGTGCAAAGGAAACATAGAAGGTGAGGAACTCGCCACATGCATGAAGCGCTGCTCTCACATACTCTCACAAGCCGTAGGTCCTGCGTAGGACGAAAGAGTGTCCAGGTGTAATCGGACTATGTGACTACTTGTGCGAAGCGCGAGCACGCAGATACTGGAAACCCATTTGCCACTTACGAGCAAGTACCAAACATTCCAAGATCCAGAGTTACTGGAAACGCGCCTACAGCTAAGCGAACTGGCTACAGCATGGTCCCAGAGGTTGCTCCATGCAGTTTGGCGAGCTTGTCTGGCAATTTAACATAGCTAACACTGAAACCCAGGTTCTTGGCAGGCGGTCTGGACAGCAGCCTGGAAGTTATTGTGTAAAATCGTAGATTCTCTCTCTCTCTCTCTCTCTCTCTCTCTCTTCTGCCGTTGCATCCAGAGGGTCGAGCACCGCATGAGGTGAGCAACGATTTTTCAAGCGAATGGCTGGTACGAACGCTGTCTGCGTCTTGTGTGCTACGCTATCTGCAGGAGGGGTGATAGAAGCAATGCCAGCGGTCCACATGAGGCCCACAACATGCATGATGCATTCGTTACGCAGTCCGTCTGGGCTAGGCTACTCCCGCTCGTATATAACACTCCTGGCATGTGACGTGTGACACATTGAATAAGATCAAATTCGCCCGGAACACATCAAGGGCAGCACTGTACACCACCTCATCGATATCATCATGCCATCCAAGAAGCTCCGAGTTGTCGTACGCATGATGCGCGGACTTCCCTGGATCTGAGGGCCGTGTGTCAATGAAGTCAGACGCTTGGCACAGTCCCCCAAACATCTTGCGAAATAAGCAGATTGATAGGTTCCACTGCTCTGTAATACCAACAAAAGCAAAACCATCTTGCACTCTTCGAGCTGCTTCCACTGCATCTGCGTGGGTCATCTTCTTCCGGTCTGGATCAAGCGTTTGCGTGGTAGGATGCTCTACCACCAGCTGATATGTCATACCGCCTTTCCACGACTCAGCAAAGTCCAGAAGAGGAACTTTTGGAGATCCCTCCTCAGACGTGCAATCGGTCATTTGCAAGAGTGGCTCTTCGTCGTATTTGCGCAGGAATTTTCGGAAATCCACAGATGCCAAATTGTCCATATCATCATGATAGCCCGAAAGAATGCGCTGATCAGGGTCTCGAAAAAAGCCCATGAGCGTGCCCTTTTCAGCCAAATAATTGTCAATTGGCGGGTGTGGCATGCTCAGATCACTTTTGCATCTGAACTTGTCCTGATCGCACATCTGGGAACACATGACATCAGTCCAAATCTGCAGGAAGCAAGGCCCCAGTGACTGCTCGCTGATTGTGAAATTAGCAGCAATCGGGCATACACCCGGCAAGTGGATTATCGCGTTGAGGAAGGAGCTGCCACTTTTTGGGAAATGAACCCAGTTGATGGGCTCTGCAGCTTTCAAGAGCTGCTCCTGCCGGCCTTCCGGGCCTTGTAGCTGCAGCTTGTGTTGAAGTAGCTGCACTGCCTCAGGCTCAGAAGGCTCAGGCTTCAGCGGCTTCAAACCAAGCACCGCCTCCATGGCCAAGGCCAAGCACACAAAAAGAGGGAACCTCATGGCGGATAGCGATGGCGTGACTTTTCAGGAACGGTTCGGTTCTGAGCCCAGGCACAAGCAACATGGCGCACTATACCACGAGAATTGCTAAGTCTGCAAAGCCTAGGCCAATCAGGTCACGAGGGGACACCAATAGAAACAAACATGGATTTATGAATATGTGAGAACCGAGACTGCCGGATATAAATATGTGAAAACCGAGAATACCGGACATCTAAAGAAGACTGTCGGCACGTGCACGGGAGCCCCTTCCCTCCCGGCCGTGGGCGCATGGGATGTAGCGAGTCAACGAGAAACCTATGCTAGTACATCAAACTTGCGACAGGCAGGGCAAACCACCTCAATCCGGATTTGAAAGCAGGGTTCCTACAGTCGACTGGGCGTGAGCTCCAAGCAAGGCACCAGGCGTAAGCAAGGCATAGGCAGATAAGAACCTAAAGCCCATAGTGGACCTCTGGAGCAGTCAAGCAGCGCGAGACAAAGGTGGTGAGAGCATATCACAGAACACCATGTGTGTAGTCCTGTGCGAATCAGTTATAAACAGTGAAACTACACCAGACCCCTGCGGTTCGTCATTTTTACTCCTTGATCCAAAAGGCGCTGCAGGCGGTAGCTCATATTGTGCTCCACCATTTCCATTAACGGCTTGGCTGCCAAGAAATGAAAAAGCCACGTGGTTGAAATGTTTCTCATGTGCTGATATCCTGTTGAGCCCATAACGCACAATGGTGTTTTCAACGACGCATGGCCCTTAATTGACCTGACACCCTCAGCCCTAGACTGAGCAGCCACCAGAAGCTGCTATCCAAGACCATGATCAAAGGTCGCCCAAAACTTTTCAACGGGGGATTTTTCACGAGAGGATTGCTAGGTGCCTGAGTGGCAGAAGCATGTGCGGAACTCTGTGCATCTGCCAACACTGCGTGTGCTATACCAAACAAGTCACCTGCACGGCGGCTAATATTGTTCAAGCAGGACATCCTCACAGCCGTGGCATCGATCAAATCAATCATGCACCATGTCCAGAAGCCAGCTTACACTTTGCACATGGACTGCGACTGTACTAGTAGTCGTAAAGCCCATTGTATGTTGTGTTTAGCAGGACATTAGTGCCAAACCTGCAGAGAAGCACTGAGCCCCACTGCACATACCTGTTTTGCCCAGGATGGCCGGAAGTCACCTGCAGTGTTGCTTCAACGTTGCCACCACAAATGGGTGTGCTGCAAGAAATCGCTCTGCTGGTGAACACCGCCTTCCAGAAACCTCGCACACGCATCTTGCAGCGGCGTCCGGACCACCAGAACAGTTTCGCAGTTTGCGCTTGTCCAAGGATGAAGTAGAAGTATGCAGCTGCGCTTGCCTTTCAGCCTGCTACGTGGTCACAGTTGCCTCAGCAAATTCGCAGCGTGTATCAACGCAGCAGCTGTAGCAGCTGTTGAAGATGCTGCTCTCATACCAGCTGCTGAAGCTGCGATCCAAGCGCTTGCGAAAAGATCTTGTCTGAAAGGCATAGGAGTCCGTGGACTAAAGGAAAAGGCTCATGACAGCGTGCATAACTCATGTTTACTGGGGGCAGGGTAATTGAGAAACAGCAGAAGCTCAAACTCCCTCAAGCACAACACGCTCACATCACACTCTGGGGTGTAAGGGTTCATTTTCGATTTCGACATTCACACTCGCGGTTTATTTTCGGTTTCGGCGTTCACACTCGGACAATCCAGACGAGGCATGAAAATTTAGGGTTATGGGTTTCTGCTCCCAAAGTTTGAAACCTAAAAACCAAAGTACTAAACCCGAAAGAACCCTACACCAGCAGCCCACAGAAGGAAAGTGTCCCTAGACGAAAAGCCCGCCAACCCTCGAAACCGAAACCCAAAGGTCCAAACAACCTTCTGTAAAACAATAAGCATTGAGGTCAAGCAGCGCCCGCACGCACCAGCCACACAGCGAAATCCTGGCAGTTTGGGTAGAGGAAACAGTAACCAACCGTCCTGTCAGCGCAGTCATGCATGGGCCTCCACGGCCCGTGAAAGCAATGACAGGAGAGGGCCATTCCGTCCTCCACTGCCGAACCGCCGTGGACATGGCCGCGTTGGCAGTGTTGCCAGGCACCGTGCCAATCATGGCGGAATGGGGCCAGCCACTTGCAAAGGCCTTACAGCATGAGCTTGGTCAGGTATGTGCCAGCGTCTAGAAGCAACCAGTCTTTGTCCCAGCACATGACGCTGGGGGCCGTTTTTTACATGAAATCACGCACCTACTGCCAATTTTCTCAGGCTAGATCGTTCAGGTACTCTATACCGCATCCTGTGTTCAGCAGGCCTTCTCCTCCTGGCACTACCCAGTGTGTAGCACCCTTTCCTGCTGCCTTGAATCCCCATCTGGTGCGTGGGTGTCTTTTTGGTGCTCTCTAGCTCCCTTCTGTTCGCACAACACCTCTTCTGCCGCCTCTTTAGCGCCATCTTGCTTGCAAGTTCCAAGTGCTTTATGCCCATATCCTGTTTTCGGCATGTTTGGAAAGTGCGCTCTAACATGCTCTAACCCTCTCGTGCTTGGAATGTGTGCTCTTATCGTGGGTCTTGGTGTATCAGCCGTCGCCCGCACGAGACATGCAGCCAGGCCGTGGGGGCGGCATCGGGAGCTTTCACCAGCAAGGGTCACAGGCCTCTGGCGCACCCAGTCTTGCAGGTTCTCGCGTCTTTGCCCCCCGGCGCCCTTCCGTAGAATTGCGCCGATTCGCCACGCCGGCCGGAATGAGCGCCTGCACTGCTGTATCGATGTATCGGTGCGGGCCTGTGCCAGCGCACCATTATACCGTATACCGATACGCCGGTCGGATCGCATGCGTGTACCGGTGTGTCGGTGCGGAGTTGTTTTCCGACCGCTGCTTACGGGCCCCTGATATTGATATAAGAAGCAGCAACGTAGCAACTCCAGCAGGCAGACTTTCAGATTGACTTGTTTGTGTTGGCGTCGTAGGGGCAAAAGCTTTCCGAGTGTAGTGTGCATTAGTGTGCCATGGATCCCTTCCTTTGTAGACGCTGAAGAGTCCGATCGGCTGTTCATACGAAAAATGAGCTTGGGCTTTCGCCCAAAAAAATTGGCTTAAGCAAAAAGTTTCGGGCTTTGGGCTCGTAAGGTTTGGAGAAAGCTTGGGTTTCAGGGTTTCGAGGTTGGGGGTTTTGATCTGTTCGGCGCAAAAACCCCCAAAAACTCCCAGCTGATTGCCAAAGCGCCGGGTCGCAGCCTGGCTCCACAACACGGACCCCGGAATGCCCGAAGGTAATCTCGTACTGGCCTGCGAAGATGGCTTGCGCAAGAATGACCACGTGCATTTAATGGTTCCGCCGGGGCTCCAGCCAACCACTACGCCCGTGTGGAAGATGAGGCCACGTGGGAGGAGCGGCATGATGCAATAGTTTATGTAGACCGTCACCTTCTGAAGCAAGGTGCCAAAGTTCTGCAGCTTGCAGCTCCTACACACCTCCCCTCGTTCCCAATCTGAGGCAACCCACCTAAGCCTGTCTAAGAAGGAGTTGAATCAACGTCTGGCATTGCATGTGACGGTGCCTCACGTTGCCCGAGCGACTGCGCACAAATCAACATGTTTGCAACATGCTTCGCAAGCCGGCGTCCATTGCCGATTTCATGGCTTACCCCACCCATGCTCTAAAGGAGTTTCCAACTTTTTTGGGGCATCTCAGTCCAGTTGTTGCATTCATTGTGCTCTTTGACCGATTCCTGAATGATTCCTTGCCAACGTGCGAAGACGCGGCTTGTCAACATATCTTCTTCCGACCCCGTGCCTTATGAGATGTTCAGCCAATTGCTGTTAAAACACCACCGAAAATTGGCTGCCGGAAAGCATCGAAGCGTCACAATGTTGATGCATGCCTACTCAAGCCAACATGCCATCAGAACACTTTGAGAAGCTGGATATTCGAGTTGTTTGCTGGCTGCCTGCACAATCGCTCTTTGTCGCACGGCCGACCACAGAATGTCGACATGTTTTGGTAGGAGTAGATCTCCAAAGCCACGTGCTCAGGTGATGTGGACTGCCCCTTTTCATCTTCGACGGGCCCCGCATGGGCTTGGAAACCACAACCGCCCAAAAAAGAGGAAAATGATAACGCCTCGCATCTTTGGGGTGTTTTGGGAGATCATGGGCCATTTCACCAAGCTACCCTCCACCCCTTCTGGCCGCGATCTGCTGGCAGGCAGGCCTACTTACTCACCAAAACATCCGGCCGTCCAACGCTACACCGAGGCACCGCTGCTTCTCAACATGCCAGAATGTCGTCAACATAAAACAACCAGGAGGACAACTGCAAGAAGAGTACCGTGACCAGGTTAGCTGAACAACAACACAGTAAATATCGTAACAAGGCAGCCGTAGAACCCACGCCTGCTCCTCCAGATTGAAGTAGGTGGTCCCTGAGGCATCGCGCTGCGGCTCTGTGGTGACTCAACATGACACGTCTCCAAGCGACATGCTGCATTTGTATCGGAGCCTGGCGACAGTGACGGCGAATTGCTTTCGTCCTGTCCGAGTGAAGCAGGTCATGCGATGCAGCCCAGATTTCGTGATCACAAGCTGGAACTATTTTGCGACTGCACCACAATGGGTCAGCTCCTGCGTTTCGCTGCCGCCATCGTGCTTCTCCATAGCTACGGTACAGGTGGTACAGGATTAACAGTTTAACAATTAAGGGAAGTCTCAATCCAACGGAAGCGCTGCTGCGTTTTGCATGCTGACAAGCTCACCACATTCTCTGCATAACAAAGATGATTTGACCGCAAACATGTGTTGCTGCACAGAGTCAACATTGTGACTTTCACTTCGACACAAGGCTCCATCAGTCGCATCGTGGGTGAACTTAGTCACTCAGTTCGTCAGGCTCCGTACAGTAAGCATTGCGATGATGCAAGCAGCGAAAACTACATCTGCAGCGGCAACCGCTTTCGTCCGCCAGCTTGCGAGTCCGATTCGAGGCACAGATCTAGCACAAATGTGTGCGCCGCCAGCAAGAGGACTCAAGCAAGCACGACCTGCAGGCACAGCCACTGTTCGTCCAGTAATACCTACGCCTAACCCCAACTTCGGGGGCCCCCCACCGTTTTACATTATTGCTTGGGGGGTCACCAGGAACAAATAATGTAAAACGGACCCTTCGGACTAGGTTGGCACGATGGACATCTTCGCACAGCAAAGCACATGAACAGAGCTCTTCACTCGGATTTTTTGTTTGCTCGTGGTTTGGGTATAGGTCGAGATTGACAGTGGCAGGAGTATGATGACACCAGTCCAGGGAGTTTTGGAGTACTCGACTGAGGCAATAATAATGTACGCCGCCCCCCCCGTTTTACATTACGCTATCCCTGCCCCGTTCCGGCGTCCCGCTAAAACACTAGTCGAGCCATTGTATGTGTTTAGCCCCAAACAAAATACTGCTGTTGCATGGTCTGTGACGGCAGCATGTTAGCATGTCCGCACTGTCGGGCCCCAGCCCCGTGCATGCTGCCAAGTCTGCGGATTGTAGTGCGGACATTGACATGCAGATCGCACGTATCCAGCTCCGATTCCAGACCCCCCCCGTTTTACATTATTCCCTGGGAAACCCTAAACTCTCCGAAAGAGCAGGCCCCCCCGTTTTACATTAGTTGGGTGTGGGCCTGTCCAGTAGCTATTCATGACTCTGCACTGGCTGGACTATTGTGTGCGTCGCGATGGCTCAGCAGGATCTAAATGCACTCCGACAGGGTCTGCAGCCTCCAGACATCGTTTGGCCCAATCAGACATTCACCTTCGCTGCACAGCCGACGTACCTCCCACAGGGTGACGGTACTCACATGCATCGGGGAATAAGAAAAGCCTAATCCTGAACTCTGTAAAGTTGGAGGCCTTGGCACCGATCCACAGGAGCTTGCCATCGAATCTGAAGGAGGCGCCGCAGGACTGCCTGGCTCTCTGGAAAACTCGAAGGGGGGGTGTTGAGGGTTTACACTCTCGCAACTCGGACACAGCCAGACGAGGTTCTTGGTGCGCAGGTCGGACTACGGTCAGTTGAAGATTTCGGGTTCAGGGTTTCGGCGCTCACACTCGGGCAATCCAGGCGAGGCATCTGTCGGGTTTAGGGTTCAGGATTCAGGGCTTAGGAACTGGATGGGGGGTGCCTTCAGCGGTTTAGTTCGGGGTGAAGGACCTGGTGTGTGAAGGCCGGATTTAAAAGATTTACAGTAGAGCAGTTCATTTCAAGGTGCATCAGTCTGTGGGGGATTTTGACATTCTATGATCCTTCAAGACAGCTCAACAGCATTGGGCTGGAAACAACCTGCAGAACAAACACAATGTGGCCTGGACCATTTCGGACACTAGCGGTTTCCTGCGATCTGGGGTTCAGGGCTCAGGGTTCCGGTCTCAGAGTTTCGACTCGCACGCTCGCTCGACGCAGGCACGGCTTCATGAGGTTTCGACGCTCACACTCGCACAAGGCAGGCAAGGCTCCACAGGCTTCAGGTCTAGGGGTTTAGGGTTTATAGAGTCGTGTTTTGGACACAGCCTTCCTCGAGTGGAAAGATTTCTCCGCCCTTGGCATGGATTTGAGGGAGTCAGATGTGCACACGACGCTTATCTCTTGCCAACGGAATTGTCCCCACAAGATGTAGGGTTCTATTATATAGGGTTGTACAATATGGGTTCCACGACAGGGGGAAACTTTTTGTTGGCTCCCGCTGTCGATTGCATCGGGCGCGGCTTCAGGAGTGAGCGCGCAATCATCATGACCGAGGGTACTTTAGGGCCTGCGAGGTTTAGGAGCTTAGCGTGGGGTTGCGCCTAAAAGGACCAGGGGCCTCGCAGCAGGGCAACAGAACATAGCGCCATGTGCATGAGACACAACCCTTGTACTGTACTGGTAGAATCTTGTAGTGTTCTCTCTGACTGACAGCAGCTAGCCGAGGCAGGGAGAGGCGGGTGCTGCTTGAGTGCAAGTCTTCAGCTGGCTCTGGCAAATCGGCATGATGCGAGTGATGATTGTTTGAGCAGCGTGCCAAAACGGCTGCGCGCAAAGACTGATTCTCCACCCTCAGCGCAGCAGCCCAGCCGAGCACAATCATTACGATGCTGATGTGTTGTTGCTGCGACAATCGCAAAGAGTTAATGGTGGCTCCTTTAGTGAACTTTGGTGTACACTCTCTTTTGCTCTTCAAGGAAGGGCGGGCTTGAAGGCAGCGTGCGATGCCTAGGGCACGCAAAAACCAAGCCCTGCACAGCACAGTGTCCACAAATCCAGGAAACTCCAAGTGAGATCAGATCACGACTTCACCTCCCTGGGGATAGATGTACTTCTTGTCTCCCGCCTTCAGCGGGTAAGGATCTTCCAAAGGTGTACCGTCCTCACCCAGGTGCAGAAGGCGTCCTTCTTCTGCCTCCTGAAAGCAGTACTCCTTGTTCCCGGCTTTCGTCTCTCTCTTGAACCTGGCGTTAAATGAACTGAACCGGGGGTTGCAAAGCCAAACACGCATGACGCGCACAATGCTCCTTTCTGTGGGGGCTGCGCTCGGGAAAGCACCAAGCCAAAACTAGCCCTCTGACACGTCCCCACCACCTATCCCCCGTCCCGAAAGAAGCTTGTTCGCAAAGCTTGGTAAAGCCAAGCAGCTCTTCGACTTTGCCGGTGTCAGACATCATCTCGACCTGGGTGCCCTTGAAGATCACGCAGTCCCCACTGGTGGTGAAGGTGCCAGTCCACAACTCCGTCACTTCCGGAGTCTCTGCGCTAGTGGAGACCTGTTCCATTACAGTTCCGCTGGCATCGGAGTTTATCTTCACCTCCATCTTGTAGGAGCCCCACTCCCCGTCGGTCCCCTGCAGGATGTAGGAGCTCGCCAGCTTCAAAGGTCCCGACGGCCCTTTCTGAAGGATCTCTAGAGCTTCAGCGAGTTTCCTGCGCTGCTCCCCCGAGATCGACCCGAAGAACTCCTTGATCTCGTCCGGGGTCGCCACGGAAGCTCCGCTCAAGTCCACGGAGGGCTCGGGTCGCAAGGGCTGGGCGGCGCTCGGTAACATGGCTCAAAAACTCCCGAAACCAGGACCCGGAGCCAGCAAAGCTCTCAACGCGGCGGAGTGCCCCTCACCCTCTTGATCCCAGATAATAAACCAATCACTTAATGGACTCCACGTGCAACGGTCATAATAAAGGCGGTCGTCGCATCCTAGCATCGTTCCTTGTACCTGCTGTGTCCTTCTTTTTGACTCTCACGTCCAGAAGCTCCAATAGAATTGACCCTTCGTACTGATAACCCCGGCCGGCGATGTTTGCGGCCTGGGCCTACAGTTTCACTCGTTAACAATCAGGAAGAAGAGCGGCATCCGTCTCTTCGGAGCTGAGCTTGTGCCAGCTCAACAGCCAAATCTCCGCCGCGGCGAATCTGCACAGAAGCACGGCTGAAGCAATGCATGGGATACAGCCACCGCCGCGTCATCCAAACCGGGCCTTGCCTTCCAGAAAGCAAGCGCTCTCTGCAATGCCACCACCTGCGCCAGACAGTTGTTAACAGGAGGGGGAGGCAAGACAACATGCCTCGGAGCGCACGGGCACTCCTGAACCCACTCGGAAGTAGCACGCTGAACTCTCTCGACCACGACAGGAGACTGGGGTCAAGATCTAACACACCATCTTGCATGTCTTCTCACAATGGTCTTGAAACTGTCACTGCAGCATACTGCAACCTTTTCCTGTTTCTGTGTCTTCGGCTTCCGCTCCCCAAGAAGCACTTGGGGCGATCTGCTATCGGTGCACTCCTAACAGCCCAAGTGTGCAGCCTGGAGCCTTCAGCCCGGCATTCGGGGACGCACGGTCTTGCCGATCTTGCACATGCATACGGAGCTCAAAGCTCACCCTTCCCCCTCAGCTCGCGCAGCAGCGGCAGCGAGCGGAGCAGCTTCTCTGCCTTTCGAGGCTTGGATGTAACATACTACCCCACAACTCTTCCACGGATTTCGAAGGCTCACACCTTGTGTGAGCAAAACACCCAGATCTGGTCGCCCTGATGGGAGCTGCCGGGCACTCATGACACGTCTAGGCCGCCTTCGGCCATGCGTTGAGCGTGGAACGCAGATCCTGCCGACAGGAAGTGATCGGCAAACGAGCGGTAGTGTTTTTTCGAACACAATGCCTAAAACCTCAAGAGAAACAAGCTTGTCTAAGAGATGATCGCATCCTCGGGGATGGCAGTGGCACCATGGTAGGCACCTGGCGGGAAAGCTGGAAGCATGGCTCAGTTCCATGCACCCGTGCGTGAGTGGCCGGTTGCCTGCTTGTGTCAAGTATGTCTGGCCGTTGCACCCTGCAACCATGAGAGCCAACTGCAGGTGCCTAGCACCAGACCGATGGCCACAGATCGAGCAGCATTGTCGCCACCAACCATGGCATTTGCCTTTGCCAGACGTATGCTGTCATACTGGCGCTAGATCAAGGCTCAAATGCCGAATCTGAGCACCCTCTGATTTTCTAAATGCACCTGCAGTACATTTCGCCTGGAGTGCAAATGTGGTGCACCCTTCGTGCGCCAGTCAACCCACGTTTTTGGCAATTTGGGGTCTCGTCTCCGACAAATCTCCCGCCTTCAGGCCGGCGACGATATCATCTTCGTACCTTGAAAAGAAGGGTGCCCGCACGAAGAACGGATCTCGCTGACGCAAACTAGCGTTCTTGCCCTAGATCATCTTACCATCTTCCTGGGCTTGGAGTTTCAACCGGCGCTTTGCGAACTAAGCGATGCAGGAGCAACCAATCCCATCGTTTGGACCACCTGCGCCAAGCTTCTTGAGGATGATGTACACGCTGCTAGGAAGGGTACCCTCGGTGGGAGATGCTTTGCCAACCTGCAGCTGATACTCACGCAAAAGCACCTTTGCTTTTGGATCGTGTATGAGCAACGAGAACGTTACGGCTCCGAGAGAGTCATTGCTGTACTGGTACAAACCACACAACCAGTGACAACAGCCTTCGCTTGACTCTTCTGTAGCCCCCTGGCGTAAAGTGGCCTTAATGGGCTCGCTCTTGCCCACATCCCAGAGCCGTGCCATAGATGTCATGGCCAGATCATCCACAAACTCCTTGGAACTTGCACCGAAAATCGACCAAAAACTTGCTCAGACCCTCACAGCTTGGCGATGCAGGTTGAAGGGTCGGAGGTTGGCAATGCTCTCTCGAGTCGTCTGGAGTCCAGACAGGCTTTGAGATCTTGTGCAAGTATTTAAGACTGGCCTGCTCTGTCTTCTTCGAGTGTTGAAAAGCTTAGTAAGTATAGCAAGTATCTGACCACGTGAGGTTGAGTTGAGTCTGTTCTGCGTAGGTCCGACGCCGCGCTGTCGCCGTAATTCAGGCCCCACCCAAGGCTGATTTACATTGTGTTTGGTACTGTCGTCATGGCCTCTTTGGACAGCGGCTTCGCCGGGTCCGTGGCTTCCTCGAACTTGGCAATGCCCTGCTCGGCCTGAAGCTCGGCAACGAGGGCACGTCCCCCCAGCTATTCTACGTGTCCAAACATGTGCGAAGATTTCTGAGGGAGCCCTGGTGGCATGTCTGACCTTCTGCTTGAACCAGCCGCCCATGTCCGAAGCGACCTGCTCGATCGCCTCACAGAGAGAGAGCGCGCGGCATCCAACAGCGTCGTGTGCCTCAGCAGGCGTCCCCCCCTGCGGCGCCCTGGCGCCCCGTGCCTCCCTCGGCTTCAGGTTCTTGTGGATGATGCGGAAAGCCACGCGGCCGAAGAATTCCCCACCCCCCAGGGCTTCCGAGTTCCGATGCGTGAACATCATTGTGCCTCAGGCGATGCCACTTCCCTGCGGCCCTACCTTCAGGGCAGCCGCGCTTCAGGCCGAGAAACGCGCAGCTTTGACGACCTCAGCCTCGGTGTCGAAGACAGCGTAGGCCGCGGCATGTCGAAGGGACATAGCCTGAACAGGCGGTGCTGATGGCAAAATTTCCCGGGCTTCTGCTAAATGCTACATACAAAGACCTCGAGGCATTGTCAGGGTAAGCACTTCCAGCATAATGGTTTTGAGGCGAAAAGAGTTCGCGCCGGGACGATGGCTTCCTACATAGACCAGGCCCATCTGGCAGAAGAACTTGAGAGAGGCCCCAAAGGGAGGTAGGCTAGAGGTGCCCCTTCCTGCCAAGCCCTCGAGATTCTGCCGTGTGTGCATCTGCACTGTCCATACTTTATAAAAATCCCATGACGCGTGATTTTCTTTGAAGTTAAAGCTAGCAGGAACCCAGTTACGTACAGGGAGTCGTCCATGCGGCAAGGGTAGCAAGCAGTAGTGCCAAGACAGCAGCAGCAGCAGATAGTTTTCTTCGAAGACAGCAGAAACTACAGGGGACAGTTTGCTCTGGCTGGCCACAAACACGATCGAACACGAAACTATCTAGAATCCAGACGAGCTTTCGTTGACCAGCTACTCGCCGACCGACCTATAACACGATCAAACGTGCAACTTCCCAGGACAGTCGTCTTCGACCAGCTGCTGATAGCCAACAGACACGCATGACGTCCTGCTCCGGCCGACCACAAGCACAGTGAAGCACACAACTATGTTTTCTTTGCCCAGCTACCACAAGCATAAAACACCTGGAACAGTTTTCTCCGACCGAGCACAGGCGCGATCAAGCACGCAATTCTTCCAGGAAGGCTGTTATCTTTGGCAGCTTTGGCAAGCTACCAAAACAGCTCAAACGCCGGGGACGATCAAACGCGCAGCTACTCCAGAACGGTTGTCTTTGATCAGGTGCCAGCGGCACGACACACCAAGGACAAATCCCGACCGACCACAAGCACGGTGAACCAGGCAACTACTCCAGGACAGTATTCTCCGACCGCCACGTCACAAAGAGGTCCAAGCATGCAACTAATGAACTAGCTACTCCAGTGCAGTTGTTTCACCAGCTCCCGAGCACACAAATCCCCATAAAACCGCTCGATGACAAACACGATCAACATCAGTCCAGTTCGGCTTTTAGTTACATCCAGTTGCCAGAATCACTGCTACAAGGGAATCATGGCTGGCCTCGGCGTTCTGCTCGACTTTTGCTTTAGTTAAATGGGAGTTCACCTGTTTCTCCTGCGCAGCTTTTGCGGCAGTGTGAAGTTGTGGGAGAGTCTTCGACAGGTGCTCGGCAGCCTTGTGCTGTAATCAAACCAACCAAACACCATGAGGATCAAGCACTCAACAATTCCAGGAGCCAGCTACCACAAATCTTAAACTACCAACATCAGTTTCCTCCGACCGACCACCAACGCGATCAAGCACGCAACCGTTCCACGACACTTCTCTCGGACACACAGCTAAGTCACAAGAACAGTGTTCCTCGATCACTCACGAAAGAAAGACGCACAGAACCGTTCTCCGACAGGCCATACACGCACCGCGGTTCCAGGACAGGTCTTTTTCAGCTGCCAACGTTTAAAACCATCTGCCAAGAGCGCTAAACTGCCTAGGACAGCTTTCCCCGATCGACCACAAGTACGATCAAACGCAACGGTCGCAGGAAAGATTTACTTGACCAGCTTCCCAGAGCACGAAATGCCAAGCGCCGCTTTCTCTGCCCGACCACTAGCCCAAAAAGGTAAAGATCAAGCACGCAACCATTCCAGGATGGTTTTCTCCGAAGAAACACAAGCTCGATCAAGCTCGCGACGATTCCCCCAGATTTTTCCTGTATCAGCCACCGAATGCGCAATATGTCCAGCCGGCCGAACACAAAATCGTTGCAGGACAGAAGCAGATGCCAAAAAAAGCACAAGCGACGAGGCCATGTTGTTCTACGACAGACCAGATAGGAACGCGATTGAGCACGCAACCAGTCCAGGAGTTTCTGTTTGACCTGCTTCCTGACACAAGCACGACACAGCATGCACCTATTCCAGGATAGCTTTCTTTGAACAGCTATTCACAACACAAATATGCCGAACACGAAACCGATCAAGAATGCAACCATTGCGGGACAATCTTCAACTAGTCAATCCGTGACCACGTACCAGGAGCAAAACGGCGAGTGGGGCAAGCGGACAAAGTCAGGAAAGGTAACCTCAAAATGAGTCGCGTTTCAGCGGGGAGGGCAAGCGACAAGTGGGAGATGGGTCAACTCGACAGAATGTGGCTGTTCGCTGGCAAGGTGCGTTGGACATGCCGCCCAACCTGTCGTAGGGCACCTTCTGCGACACCTCCAACAAGAAAGAACCGAGGCCTGCAGACCTCAGCCTGGACATCGCCAATCCCTCGCCTGCTGAAGCGTCTGCTTTGTCTGGGTGCAGAGCCATGCGCCCCAAGACTTCGTCACACGCTGCTGCCAGTAAGGGACCAGGCCCTCTAACCTGAAGACACAGTGCTTTCACTGCCCTTGAAGTGTTCTCAGAAATCTGGCTGGCGATCCCCTTTGTCAGGCCCAACCTTCCTTGAATTTCATTTCCCCTGGCGGTAGTTCTGAGAGCAAGCAAGGCATGGTGGAGCGAAGTCGCCTGACTTCAGCTTTGGCCGCATCACCGCTGCGTGAGGCCAGGTACTCCAAGCCTCGGACAGTCTCGTTCCGGATAGTCAGAACTGTCGCCCCAAGCAAGTCTCAGGGATGTACCCAGCAAGTTGTACTCGCCATAATCCGTCTGGTCTCCTGTCTCGTGAGTGTGCAGCCAGCTTTCAACAGATCCGGCAGTGGAAGGAACCTGGAAAAACTGTCCTGCTTTCTGACCAGGGTGGTAGTTTCGGCGCCCCCAGCCCACGCCGTGCGTAGTGCCACCCATAGCTTCACCGGGGCCCATGTATCGCGAGATGGTGCCTCCATAAGCCTCGGGACATCTAAAGAAAACCCGGGTTGTCAAAAGCGAGACTGGAACGGGTCTCTGACCGGGCCTGCTTGATGGCCTTTGCATCGTACTCGTAATGTGAACCTTATGAATCAATAAGCGTAGCCAGCATAGCGAAGCAAATTTTCTTGCAGTCGAGGTCTGCGGCTTTGGACTCAGCTGAGAAGCCCAAGCTTAGAGCATCCGCCACGAGGCAGCCAAAAAATGCACCTCAACTTCACCAATCAACGCTTGAATTGCTCTCGGCACACTGCCAGCACAGTGTGCTCAGCCATGAGTCGCACGGGCAGGGAGTGCGAAGCTTATGCAACAAAACGACAATGGGCCACAGAGTGGAGTTCTGGATGTCACTTCCGGGTGTTGGAGAGCGGAAGAAAGCGGATCCAAACCTTCCTGACATCGCAAAGCTGCCAGAATCATCATGTGCATCAGGGTGAGACACGAGCCGAAACGTCACGAAAACAGGCTTGGCAAGGTCTCAGCAGTCAAGGCACCTTCGATTCGATCAGGCAGTGAGGGAGAGGCTGCCGAGATTGGCAGAACCTGAAGCTGCACCCAAGATCCGGTGTCGTCTCATGTTCGGACCCTTCAAAGTCCAAGCGGCCAGCACCGCGAGCACTGCGAAAATCATGGCTGCAGCGAATAGAAACAAGCTCGAGCTGAAAATTGCTATGGTCCTATGGTGCCCAGCATGAAGCAAAACATTTGCTGCACAGAGAATCGTTGTGTTCACGTGTATATAGCCTAGGCAACCGTGGCGCCTGCTTAAAGCTGCAACAGTACGTGCAGCAAGCTAGCCCATCAACGGCATTGGACCCACTTTGCAGCTTTTGGAACAGCAGCAGTAGTAGTAGCAATAGTAGCAATAGCAATAGTAGCAATAGTGGCAATAGTAGCAGTAGTAGCAGTAGTAGTAGTAGTAGTAGTAGTAGTAGTAGTAGTAGTAGTAGTCGTAATAGTCGTAGTAGTCATAGTCGTCGTAGTCGTAGCAGTAGCAGTCGTCGTCGTCCTCGTAGCAGCAGCAGCAGTGGCGCTAGCCAGGTGCCACATGACTCGTCCGGTTTCACAATCAACCGCTCAGCCGACCCTGCCTTCTGGAGCACACCGCTTGTGGTAGCCGCCATGCTGACTGACTGTATCGGTCCCATGCCGGATGACTTCCGTTGCTGTTCTGCTCCGGCTACAACAGAATCGCTCCCTGTGGACACTCGGACAGTAGAAAGTCACAGAATTCACAGCAAGGCCGAAAAGAAGGACTCGAAACACTGGAGCTTGCAATACAACCCTTCGGGTTTCCTGTTTTGTCATGAATGATCGGACATCACGACCAGCGAGTCAGTGAGCAGTACTAATTCGTAGAGCCGTCAAGGGCTGATGCAAGGCGCTTCACAATCCTGCCTGCTTGTTATCAGATATCAGATCAAGGAAGGCTCTCTAAGGCCTCCTTCGGGCCATTACTATCCAGGGGATGCGGATTTCTTGGCTCTTCTCCACGTCTGCTCTGAATGATACGAGTAGCATGAAAGGGATAAAGGGTGAGTCGGGAAACCTGAAATCGGGAAACCGAATTTTCTGACTGAGACCCACTACTGTACGTGGAATTTGCAAGTCCATACACTGGTCAGCTGTAATGTCCCGAAATGCTGACGGCAACATCAGATGCGCACGTTTTCCGTTTGCTGGCTGAGAAACACTTTCAGGTCTAGGAGGCCTGCTTGTCAGGTCAGACCGTGAATGGCCCAGTAGTCATGTCCGTCTCTGGAGGTCCACATTTGCTTCGATGCAACCCTGCCAAAGCTTCCGAGGTGAGGCAAGTACTCGGAGTCTGCTCCTGCAGGCTGCCCGAGATGACTCTTAGGGGTCTGCTGCTCTTCGGAAACGATTCCTCGTGTTAGCAGCATGGTGCGACACTGCTGCATCGCTAAAAGTACCTCCAGATCTGAGATACATCGGACCTTGCGGTGGACTTCAACCATCTCAGAGAAGGGGGAGCGCGGCTGCCTCAGGTAAGTGCATCTTTTTCTGCGAGTACTCCCCGCCCGGATTCTGCCAAAAGGAATGAACCACCCGTTCCTTTCCCGGCCTGATTCCCACCCCGTCCTGCCTTTGACTCATGCAGTATCCTCCCCTGCCTGCCTCTCCTATCACGCACTGTTTTCACCCCCTTCCTATCTCCATAATCTTCGCGAGCACGCACCGCGTGTGCGTCCAGTGCCTATTCTGTCCGTGCGTGTATGTATGTTTGTATGTATGTAGGTATTTAAGTATGTATGCATGTATGCTTGTACGTTTGCACACACACACACACACACACTCACACAGCAACCCTGGCTGGGGCTCTTGCAATCTGGTCGTTTGCCGCAGCGCCTGCCTTACTAAGGTTACCAAGCAGCCATGACATATGCTATCGACGTTTAGGGCAACGCCGAAAAGGCTAGCACGAGACGACGGATACCCTTCTTTTGTATGGGAAGAAAGCGCATCGCGCCGGGTCCGTCGCCTCCGCCCAAAACTAGGCTGGCCGGCGCCGGGGAAGCTTTGAGCTACCCGACGCGCCGCCCGTGGGCGGGGGACGACCCTTCAGTCTTTCAGCAAACGGCTTCGCCGATACTGGGGAGGCCTCCTCCCCACTCCCCAACACGAGGGTGGTAGAGGGTGGGCCGAAAAAGCGATGTCGAGCCGGGACAGCTGCCGGCACGACGAATCGCTCATGTCCATACGCACACACGTGTGCTACACGACATATGCTATCGACGTTTAGGGCAACGCCGAAAAGGCTAGCACGAGACGACGGATACCCTTCTTTTGTATGGGAAGAAAGCGCATCGCGCCGGGTCCGTCGCCTCCGCCCAAAACTAGGCTGGCCGGCGCCGGGGAAGCTTTGAGCTACCCGCCCGGCGCTCCCCACCCCCACACAGCGCCGGCACAGCCGAACTACCGGAAAACTCAAATAGCGCAAGCTCTCAGCTCCGCCGATGCTCCGTGGATGGCGAACTCGAGGTCGCCAGCAGTCTTGGCCAGGATGGCGCAGATTCTGGCCGCCGGTGTGCGTACTCTGGTCCAGCCCATCGCCTCGGCCGTGGCCAGGTCGCCGCGGGACACCGCATCCGCCACATTGGCCTTTGAAGGTACCCGCCGGAAATCGGGCAGCCAGTTCATTTCCGGCCAGGACGCCGTTGACCGCGGGGTCCCTCCCGTAGCCCTTGGTGAGGGCCCACTGGCCGGCGACGTTATCAATGAACGCCAGCCAGCGTTCCGGTAACCGCCGCGCCAGCGTTGTCAACGCCAGGACCTGGGCGACGATCTCGAGCACATAGATGAAAGCCCGCCTGGAGCCGAACGCCACCAGGAAGGAGGATGGCGCCTGGCCGTAGTCATAGTAGGTCTCGCCGCCGACTCTGACCACGTATCCCCAGCCGTTCTTGCCGCGTGCCCCTTTTGGTGTGGGCAGGTCCGCCGGCAAGAAGCCCGCCTTGTGCTTGACCTCGCCTGGCTGGAAGAACGCGTCCGCGTACACCAGGGCCTGCGGGGCGCCGTCGTCGACGAACGGCACAAACCGGGGCCGGATGTTCTTGAGTAGCTGCCGGAGCGCCCGGAGGGCCGCCGCCAACCCCAACGACAGTTCTGGGGATGACTCCGCCGCCGCGTCGTGGGCTCTGGCGTAAAGCGGCTTCAACGCCGCCTTGCCGAGGCAGCCGAAGGTGGACTGGGACGCGAAGCTCAGCTTGCCCGCCAGCTTCTGCGCCGCGTGCGGCTGAAGGGCATTCGTCTCCAGCGCCGCCTCGATGGCCCGGAGGAGCTTAGACACCCTAGAGGGGGTGGGTCGCAGGGACACGCCGTCCGCCTCGATCGTCATTTCCACTCCTTGGACCACGTGCCGGGCCGCCGGCTCCTGGGCCTTCGACGGCTTGGTCTGCAGGCCGAGCTCCAGGAAGAGGTCCGCCAGGGAGTGGAAGGCCGACTCTGCGAGCTCCGGGAGGTCGACGCCGTTAAAGTCGTCCACGAAATGGCCGCCGACCAGCCACAGCAGGACGCGGGTCAGCGCCTGCATCGCGTCCGCGGCCCTGTTAAAATTCCAAACCGACGCCGCGGCTCCAAAACACATGGCCAGGTGAAACCAGAGTGTCAGCCCAGCCGGTGTCGCCAGGAACGTGCCGGAGTGGGCCGGGTGCCGGACTGCCCACTGCCGGTAGGCATTGAGCAGGTCGTGCCCGAACAGCCAGTTCCACCACGCGCCGGATGAAGTCCACCACGTCATCCACGAAATGGTGGGTGGGGACGTCCCGCGCCAGGATCGTGGAGTTGTGACCCGAGCGCCGCCAGTCCTCCCCTCGACGCACTTTCGGGTTCCCCTCGCCGTCCTCCTGCACGATGGCGAAGGACGCCGCGGCAAAATGGCGGCCAGGGGGCGGCGGCACCAGCCGGTCGGCGCCGGGCGTGTTCAGCACCGGCACGGTGACAATGTTCCACCCAGCCGGCGGGGCCGCTGGACCAACCACCCTGCCAAGCCGGGCCTCCGCCACTAGTTCCGTGAGGAGGGTCTCCCAGTGCTTGCCGGGCTGCGCCGCCGAGGCGCGCTTCCGGACGTATTCCCAGTTGGTCGCCGCCAGCTGGTCCAGGGACACCGGGTTCTGGTAACGGCCGTCCGTCCGATCCTTCCAGCCGGGGCCACGCCGCACCTCGCCGAGCATGTCGAAGCCCTGGGTGAGGTCCGCCGTGAGGCCTTCGATGTCGGGGTAGCCCACCACGCCGAGGAGCTCCAACAGGACCGGGATCTGCGTAGGCCGGTCCTTGTCCGCCGTGGAGTAGGTGCTGCGCACCGGAGCCGGGCGCTGGGCCAGCCAGGCCGCCGTCTCCTCCACGCGGTCCGCCACCATGTCTCTGATCTCCTGCAGGACCTCGCCGCGGATCCTGACCACGTCGTGGCGCCAGGCAGCCGCGAGCCCCAAGACGCGTTCCACCGCCGGCTCCAGGTCCGGCCGCCGGGTGACCGTGCAATGGCTCAGTTGAAGTGCCAGCCGCCAGTGCTCGTCAGGGTCGTCCTCCGGCAAGTCGAGCCGCGACGCCAGGCGAGGCGGGGGGCTCATGTCCAGGGGGCCGGCGCCGAACTGTGAGGCCATCCGGCTGTGCCACCGTAAAGGCCATGAGCATTGCCAAGAGGCGCCGGGCCACTCCCCAGTGCCACCCGTTGGCCACCATCCTATGCCGGGTCCTGTCATCTCCGTCGCCGAGGTCCGTGTACCCCCCCGGTATGTGGTGGAGAGCCTCCTTAACGCCGACGGGGATGTTGTGGAGCCGGCCGGCCTCGTCGTGGATCATCGCCTCCTCTGTGTAATGCCAGGGGGCGAACTGCCGGGAGTCCGCCAGCCACCTGGCTCTCGCCGGCTCCGGGATCTTACCCCGAGCTCTCTTCGGCGCCGGGCGGCCGTTCTCGTCCTCCGCCGGCGTGGTGGCGCATGGCAGGAGCAACCTGCTCGACGCCACTGCCGGGTGAAAGGCCATGCCCACCGGTAGCAGAGTGCTAGCCGCCGCCCTGGCCTCCTCCAGCCGGAGACGGTGGAACGGCCCCTTCTTGGTCCAGACCAGGGGGGCGCCGGTGGCCGGGTCCTCCGTGTGCTGCCGGAGGTCCGCCGAGAGCCACCAGAGTCTCGGCCTCGAGATCCACCCGAAATCGGAGGCGCACACCAGCGCCGGTTCCACCCCAAGGCAGTCGGAGACCTCCTTGGCCGACGCCGGCTGCATGACAACATTCTCAAACATGAAACCGACCCGCCAGCCGCGGAGCGCCGCCCTCAGCTCCAGGACGAACTCCGCCGAGCGCAAGAACAGGCTGCCGCGGGCGCCACTGTGGCCAGCCTCCGCGCCGATTTGGGAGAAATCTTGGCAGGGGGGCGCCGCGACGAGGAGGATCACGCACTCGCCGGCCGGGTCCAGGCGCTTGACTTCCGCCGCCACCTTCTCCACCGAGTCCGCGGTGAAGTCACCCCTCTGCCGGAGCCAGGGCAGCCGGATGGATGTCAATCGCCGGCAAGTCTTGTCTGTCTCCCACGCCATGGCCGCCCACGGTGTGCCAAAAAGGTCCTCGAGGATAGCCGGCGCCGCCCCGACGCCGTCAAAGAGGGAGAGCAGGATGTACTTGCCATCCCGGCGCGCCGGCCTGGCCGGCTTCAGCACCACCGCCTGTGCTGCCGGGCTCCGGTCGGGTATACCCCACCCGAGGCCGAAGCGCCGGGCGCGGCCCCGTGCTGTCCCTAGCGCCTGTGCTTCTGCGGGCGGTCGCCTTCCTGCGCCTGGGAGTCTCTCTTCCCGCCGCGGTCCTGCCACGACTGGGCCCGGTCGGCATTGGCCCACCGCCGATCGTCATGCCAGTCCTGGCGGCCGGGCTGCTGGTTGGAGTCGCCGCGAGGGCGCCAGTTCTGCCGCCAGCCACCACCGCCGCCACCGCGGCTGTCCGAGCCACCCTCGTCGCCGCGGTGCTGGTGCTGCTGTTGCGCCTGGCGGGGGTTGTTGCGGCGCCGCCTGTTCTTCTTCACCTTCTGTGGCGCGGGCCCGGGCTGGTACCCCTGGTGCGCCGCGGCGCCTGGCGGGCCGTCCGTCTCCGGGTCCGGCAGGTTGAAGCCCTCGCTGACCTTGTTCCTCGCCGGGGGCCGCGGGCGGGAGAGGACATCCAGGAACGCCGCCTGGTCCTTCATGATCTCCGCCGTGACCTCCTCGAACGTCCGGCGAAGGTGTATGTGTGTGGCCAAGCGCCGGGAGGACGCGTCCCAGTACTCCGTGATCGCCTCGAGCTGGGATGGGCGCTGCCGGGCCTTCGACGTCCACCACTGGGCGTACTCCGCCGCCCCTTTCTCCGTGGCCACGCCGGAGGGTCCAAGCCCGCCTCGATGCCGTCGATGACGCCGAGGACCCCCCTCGGGGTCCAAGGGTCCTCCCGGTCATGGACCAGTGCGCCGTCCACCAGCCGGATCGCCTGGCCCCTCTCCTTGTGGCGCCGGATCGCCAGCGGATTCACCTCCATGGCTGCCGTGAAGGTGCGCCGCTGCAAAATCTCACCCAAGCCGACCGCCGTGTACTCCTTCGACTTGGTGTGCTCGAAGTACATGCGCGCCAGCACCTCCTCCGCGCCGAGGAGGAGGGTCGTGGGGAAATCCCGGGGCTCGCCGGCGACCGTCACCTCGTTGTACCGCTTGACCAGCGGCCCCCACTCCGGGAATGTCTTCGGTGGCTTGTCGCCGGGAAGGGCCGGCACCACCGTTCCAGGGGCCGCCGCCGCCGGGGCTGGCGCGGCAACCGGTGCCGGGACCGCGATGTGGGTGGCCCACTGCTTGTGCGCCTCGGCCCACATGTGGTGCAGGATGGCTTCGACGACCG